GGGGGTTTCAGAATCTGCAATACAGCTCAAGAATATGGCTCAGAATAGTATCTATAGCCCTCGAGGTCCTTGACTATTTAATGGCTAAACTATTATTATTTTGTCTTGCTTGGCTGTTTTCCTTTGTTTCTGCATTTTCTCACTTCTCTGATTAAATGTATTCTTTGGAACTCAGGGAAGGCCTAGGAGGCTAAAGGTTTTCTATAAACAAGAGGCAGGCAGAGGACATGGTGGGGGATGTTTGTCCCGGGAAGGCTGCCCAGGGTCCTGCTCGGTTACCAACATAGTCGAGATGTCAATCTCCCCCAAAGTGATCTATAGAATTAACACAATTCCAAAACTCCCAGCAGAACATTTTTTAGCTATAGATAAGAAGAGTGTAAAATTTGTATGGCAGGGTAAATGAGCCAGGGTAGCTAAAATAATTTTTACAAAGAAGAACAAAGTTGGATAAATCACTCTACCCAATTTGAATGCTTTCCATAAAGCAACAACTATCCAAACAGTATGGTATCAGCAAAGGACAAATACACAGTCAATGATCAGAAATTAATGATAAGGAGTCCAGAAACAGATTCACATATATATGGCCATTTGACCTTTGACAACAGTGCAAGTGAATCCAGTGGAGAAAGGACAGCCTTTTCAACAGTGCTCAAAAGTTGATCGGTTGATCGTCCACATGCAAATAATCGAACCTCAACCGAAGCCTCACATCTCACAATTAATTCAAAATGAATCACACATTAGTGTAAAACACAAAGCTATGAAATGTTTGGAAGAAAACAGAAAAATACCTTCATGACCTGGCCTTTGTCAAAGAGTTCTTAGACATGATATCAAAAGCATAATCCATAAAATAATTCATAAACGAAGAAATCAATTGGACTTCATCAAAATTAAAAACATTTGCTCTGCCAAAGACAGTGTAAAGAAAATGAAAACACAAGATAAATACTGGGAGAAATATTTGCAAATCACATATCAAACTTAGGACTTGTATCCAGAATATATAAAAACTCTCAAAACTCAGTAAGAAAATAACTCAGTTAAAAAGTAGGCAAGAGACATGAATAGACACTGCACCAAAGATGTAATGACAGATAAGCACGTGAAAAGATGATCAACATCAAAGCCATTAGGGAAATGCAAATTCAAACCACAATGACATACCACTACACACCAACAAAAACGTCTAAAATCAAAGAGAACACTGGAACTTTGGGATGTGGGGTGCTGGAATGCCTCAGGCCTTGCAGTTGGAAATGCAAAGTCGGGCAGCCAGTCTGGAAACTGTCGCTCGGAGATTTCTTTTCTCTTTTTCTGTTTTTTTGGCCACAACACACGGCACGTGGGATCTTAGTTCTCCAACCAGGGATAGAACCCTCGCCCGCTGCATTGGAAGGCGGACTCTAACCACTGGACCACCAGGGAAGTCCTGTTCAGCAGTTTCTTAAACATACACTCACCATACGACCCAGAAATCCTACTTTGTAGAGAAACAAAGCTTACGTCCACATGCAAACCTGTACATGAGGTTCACAATCATCAAAAATTGAAAATGCAAGTCTTTCATCAGGTGAACCGGCAAACTGTGGTCCATCCACGTCACAGGACGTATGAGCCATTTGGCCACTCGGATGGATCTCAAAGGCAGTATGCTGAGTCAAGGAATCCAGTCTCAAAGGTGACGCGTACAATTCTATTTACACGACATTTTCTTTTGACAGATCCTGCCTCAGGTTTATTTATACAGATAGCACAGGGCACCAGCCCCATGCAGACAGCAGCCCAGGGGTCACACTAGTCCTTCTGTCCTCACATGGGCAGATAAAGGTCTCTACTTGGGAGCCTTTGTGGGGACCTGAGTGGGAGCTGGAGCCGCCTTGGCCTTGGTAAAGGCAAGATTACAATGCCGGAGATCAGTGGCCGCCAGGAATTATGGGGGGTGATGGCAGGAAAGGACCAGCACTCAGGAGGTCTTTGGGATGATGGAGCTGCTCTGTGTCCTGATTGTAGTGGTGGTTGCATGAATCTGTGTATGTGTTAAAAATCCAAAAACAAAACAGAAAGGTTACTTAAAAAAATTTTTTTTACTTAAAATTTGTAATTTAAAAAATGGAAATTACACATTCTAGACTAAAATGTCCAGTGAGCTTTAACAGAAGGAAATTTCTCGACTTAGTCAACGGTATTTATCAAAACTCCACAACTGTGCTTTAAATAGAGACGTCAAGAGTCTTCCCACTCAGGTCTGAACGCACAGCAAGCTTCCTTCACCGCCAATATTCTTCGAGATGCAGCCGTGCACATGCAGCCCGCAGAGGAGCAAAGGAGTCCGTGTGTTTGCTGTGACACTGCTGCCTGGGTGGGCGTCCAGGACACCCACCCCGCCACTCTCGGAACCAGCAGATTGGGTACAAACACCAGTGTCTTCTCCATTCCATATAAGCAGGTGCCCCGCCTCCCTGAGGAAATACAAGAAATAAGCCAAACTAGAAATACGTGAGCCCTGTGGGAGGAAAACCCGGAAGCCCCTTTGCAAGACCCTGAAGGGGGTCTGAGCGCATGAGTGTCACGGGTGAAAAGGCAACACTGACACAGTGCGAGGAAGCGCCTTCCACGCTGGACGACAAACAGAACACACACCCTGCGATTCTGGCAGGCCCCCGGGGGCCCCACTTCACCCTTGGGAGCGTCACTGAGCAAGCCCCCAAAAGGAACCGTCACAGGGGCCAACCCGGGCGTTGAGGGAGCAGGCGGCCCAGACCAGCCGCAGCTCCATCAGGCAGTATTTCGATCCACGTAGGCTGCGTTCGCGGGAGATGGGGCTCCGGGCCCCTCCTGCCGCCCTGGGTGTGGGGTCAGAGACAGCCGAGGGGCAGGGGGAGTAACACCTGTAACACCTGCACAGCCAAAGCACCACGCGGGGCCAGGAAGAGAAGTGTGGATCCCGGGGACCCCTGACCCTCAGGAGCCCTGGCTGTCCTGGGACCATTCCCCATATCTCTCCAGAGCTCTGGGGTCGCAGGACCTCCCCGCCCAAGCCCTGGGGTCCTAAAGACAACAGCCTGTAAACAGTAGAATCACCAGAAATGCCTCCCAGGACCGAGCTGGAATTAATGCCTGCTTTGTGCTTCCTGAGATGTTAGTGGAAAAAGCCATTTCCCACCAACAAGAATACGTACTTAGTTGGTGCCTTTTCATACTTGGTCTGTTTGTTATAAGGGCCAGATCTGTTTATGCCTCAAAAGATTTTTGACTAAAAATGTTCCTAAAGAAGCAACTTTGTTATTATAGTACCCAATACACATTAAAAAAAAACAAACAAAAAACCCCACAGGATTCATTGTCAAATGATTTATATTTTCACATTCAAATAAAATCCAGAGACAATCAGGCTGCAACAAGAGTCTGATGGACACGTCAGCCTGCTGGTGGTTGAGACTGACAGGCCTCAGGCACTGGGGAAGCATCCCACGGCCACCTGCCACGTAAAGGCAAAACACACCAAATGCATGGGGTGTTGCCTGCCACCTGGACGGAGGGGCTGCCTGTGCACCCTGCAGGGGCCTGTTACTTACAGAAGCACGGCTGTACTCCAGCGCAACTGGGAGTGGGCGCCGCGAGGTTACCGACCTAGCAAGAGGGCCCCATGCCCCGGGCCTGGCCACAGCTGCCCCAACGAGGGCTGCTGGCCCCACTGGGGGTTTTATCCGTAAGAACCAAAAGTCAAAGGGAGACATTTATCCTCAGCCAGGCAGCAGGTATGGCAGAGGCCCCTGGCTGTGCGTGCTGTGTGCTCCTTTCCTGCGGCCTCCAAAGCCTCTGTCTCATGGCAGGGCATGCAGGATCACATCTGTAACAGCGCTGCCGGTTAAAGCGGGACTTGCATGTTTCACGCAAATGGAGTCTCGCTGGAGAAGCAAATCTCCTGTGCGAGCTACAGGCGGGCGCAGCCTCCCCTTAGTCCCTTGCAGCCCCTCCTCCCAGGCTCAGGGGCTGGGGGGCAGGGGATACCTGGGCCTGGCTAATCTTCTCACTCTTTCCTAGAGTCATGGGCCCTGATGAAGCCTGCTTCCTGCCGTCCCTGCAGCCCACCCAGCGCCTCGGTGAACGTGGACATTTAAACGTGGCTTCGGCACCTTGACATTCGTTAGGTGGAGTAAACGATTTACCAAAAATAAGTAAAATAGGTGAAATTAGTTTCTTAAGACTAAATTTATCTTTAAAGTTTAATGATCTGAAACCCACGAGAGCATAATTTTGGTCAACATATTCTCCCTTTTTTTCAGTTCTGGTTTCCTCAGATTTTCAAGATTGCTGTAAATTACTTAACCTTTAAAAATTAAAAGTTATGGATATAGTAAATTGCCTGCGATAGCTGATCGCGTGTGTCAACCTGACGGGGCTCAGTGCCGAGATTCAAGTTATTCTGGTGTGTGTGTGAGGGTGTTCCCGGAAGAGATGAGTCTTAGAACCTCCCGTGTGGGAGGGCATCATTCACCGCCCCCCACCAGGGCCTGGACAGAACAAAAGGGAGGCAGGGGGCACCCTCACGAGAAATGTGTGTGCACACGTGTCCCGACACGCCAAGAGAGGGTGCAACTCCAACCTGCGGTCCACCGCTCAGGGGAATCAGAGGTTTTCTTTCACACAGGTTCCCTGGCACACACAGCTGCCAACCAAAGACAGTTCTCTCTCCAAGCAAACAGATGCGTGTGGGCTCCCAGAGTTCCCATCGAACCTCTGGCGCCAACACTGGACCAGCTTCGTGAAGTGCTGCATCCACGGTCACAGTCACAAACGCCATGTGGGGCAGAGTCATTAACCTGGGAGGGTCCAGGCTGGGGGTGGGAGGGGAGGGCCCGGTGTGGCGTGTATGCGCCCTCACCAATACCCACGGCACTCTTCGTTACACTGTATCACCCTAACAGGGCACCTATCTCACGCTCTCACAAACATCTTAGGTAACAAATGTCCAGCCTCAGAGAACTAGGTAGGTTTTCCTTTTGCTTTTATTACAAGCATATAATATCAATTGGCAAAACACTGAATACAAGCTTCACTATCATAAAATCAAAAGTTAAGCAATATTCCTAAACAGATTTTAGATAAAAACTAGCCACCAAGAGTACAAACAATTACACACCAACACAAAGCATAAAAAATGTAAACTTCCCAACTAAACAGTCAAAAACATGTGTCTGCAGCGTCACCTCCACAATCCCCCAGAGCCCCCGATCTCCACGCGGGATGCCAGGGTCGGCAAGGGCTCTCGCCCCTGAACGCTGCATCATACGGGAAAAATGGTTTTCTTGCACCCAATGAAGCTGTTGAACTAGACATTTACGCTAATGCTACACACGTTCCAGGGGACACGTAAACTTCAGGTCCCCTTCAGATGCACCCACGGACGCAGAGACGACGTGAGCTGGTGAGGGGCCCGGCGGTCCCCAGGAAGGGACAGAATCTCAGTGATGATTGTGGTGTCGCTTGAATTGTTTTCTAACCGACTTATCCCAACCTATTTAGTTTGTTTAAACACCAAGGCAGAGAAACACGTTGGTTTATCAGCTAAGGTCACATGTGATGTGCTGGGGTGTAAATGATTTCCTGAGGGAACAGAGACACTGAACTTTTCGTGATTTATCTGCACTAAGTGTGTTTTCAATGTTTTGAGAGCACATCAGATATTCACGTACAAAGTAGAAACCAGCTGGCTTGTTCCTACGATATCCAACCCAATGACACACTTCAAAATCACTGTAAAATCCATCCTGTGGGCTTTGAAGAAAAATCAAACGAATTTCTAAAGACCTCAAATGCCATGAGGAGGCATCTAGGCCGCACGCGCCGGCGGGCTCAGGAGCCTGGGAAAGTAGCACCGTCACATCTGTGGTCGACACGGGGGCGTGTCCTGGGCCACCAGCGCGCGGGGTCTGAGGCACGAGGCCAGCCTAGGCCACACGTCAACTCGCGGCCGCTGGCCGGTCACTCACTCTCACCGATGGCCGAGCCCCTTGCACAGGCCCACGCACATTCCCAGCAACAGCGTTTTCATGAGAACGACGACGGAAGAGGAAAACCAAAGGGCTGAACGCACACGTTCTGAGAGTCCGCCTACACGGCCTCCATTCAGTGGAGCAGATGCCACGGACAATCCACGTACGTGTGGCGCCGCCCGCTGGAGCCTATCGCACAGAAGCACCAACTGCTTCTCATACAGGTAACACAAAGCACACGAGTCAGAAGCTACTCAAAGCAAAAAGAAGAAGCTTGCAGAAGGCCTCACAATTTCATCTTATATGCCTGTAAATAAAGCTGGACCACTGAAACCAAACAACTGGATGGGAAAATATGATAGAAGGCTTAAAATAGAATAAATAATTTTATAAAGTTTTCTTCTTTTTAACCCCCCAAATCTTAAATTCAATATTATATATTCTATCTGAATCTTCTATTTTCATGACACCTGTACCTAGTGAGACCCTGTGCTGCTGACGAGCCCACGCTGCCGACGAGGGCGCCGTTTGGTAACCGACAGTGTTTGTTTTACCAGCACGAAGAGTTGTGAAAACTACTTCACAGTAACTCCATCTGTTAAAAACAAAAAACAAACTTAATAGGATCCAATCACTAACTGATCCTGGCTTTCATGCTGGGAAAGATAAAATTCTGCCGTTGACGTTAAACGGACACGAGAGAAAAGTGAAAGTTTCCCTCTGACGGCGAGGCCCCCAGCTCCATCCCCGTAAGGCTGCGGTCAGACCGGAGGTGGCGGGAACAGGGATCTCCTGCAGTGAAGACGGTCTGCACGAGGACATCTTAGAAAAATGGGTACTTCTGCTGCTGAGGTTTCATCAGGGTAACACGGACACAAACGCGGGATCAGCAGGTGGCCAGGGCCCAGTGGGGACGGTGACGCCAGCTCTGACTCATCTCCACCTCTCTGTGTATTAAGTACGTCGACTTAGCACCATAGCAAATTCAAGTGATTGCAAAGATAGCTGCAAAGTTACAAATATATACTATGAGATTATACAGCCAGGTTCATTTTAATCTGACCTGTGAATTAATTTTATTTGAATTTGGACGCTCACACTGTTTAATCCTTCCTTCCTTTCGTCACACAGGAAAATACCTAAATTCTAACGGTACACTTCAACTGCATTGAGAACACACGGTTTTACAGAAATGTGTATTTGAGGTAGACAGGTAATACTTAGTCATACGCATCTACTCACTCAACCCTTGAATAGTGACCCTAACAAATGATCGGGATGAACAGCAAGCGCAGGTAACCGAATCATTCAAACGGTCCCGGGAGTAACGGGCTTAAAGAGAGAGATGAACTTTGACCAATTCCTAAGAAAAACTTGGTTTTATATTTCTGAAAGGCCTTATACTAAAACCACTTGGACTGAGTTAATTTGTTTTTCCCATCACTAAGGGAGCTGCTTCTGACATTTGTAAGTACGAAACAGGAAGCAGAAAAAAAACAAACAAACTTGAATGTCGATGAGCCCAACCACCACTTCCAAAGCAAGTTCGAGAAAAACTCTAGTCACCAAGGTGAAGTTCTTCATGGAAAACCCGGCCCTCAAGCCACCGTCAGGACCACCTACCAAGTGAGGCGGCCCCAGGACCCCAGGGCCCCGGTGATGCAGGAGGTGACAGAGGGGGAGGAGCCCAAAGGTCAGGCAGAAGCCACCGGACGCGGAGAGGGACGGCCACGGAGCGGGGACCCGGAGAAGGCCCGTCTCCTTGCTCCTGTCTTTACACATTCCAAGTTACTATCTTAAAGGAACAAAAATGGATGTGCTGGCAAAGAGTTTATTCTCCAATTCCACAAAAATACTAACATTTGGGAGGAGAAAGGGCTAACAGAGGGTGTGCTGCGTCTGCCCGCGCTGTAGGTCATTAAGTCACTGGAAAAGCCGCTTCAGCCGCACAGGGGCCCGCGCGCCTGCCCTCTGTGGCTCTAGCGTGCCCGCCAACAGCGGCCGGAGCGTGCCAGCTGCTCCACGAGAGCACGGTGACGCGCCCACCTCTGAAGGCTGGCATGGTGGGACCCGGGGTCTGCACACGTGGGCCTTTGGTGGAGACACGCCCCCTGGGCACCAGCCCCGCCGCGGACGGGGGCGCCGTCTCGGGAAAGGCCCCCCGCCACCACCATCAATCTGTTCAGCAAAACAAAAACGGGAAAGAATAAGCGGGAAGTTAAACGACGGCGCCGAACAGCTTGCGCCCTATTTAAGAGAAACAATGTTTGAGAACAAGAATCGTTCTTCGAACTGTCGTCTTCCGGTCCGCCCTGCTGACCGGGGGGGCGGGGCAGCCGCGTCGGGGTCAGGGTGCAGCCCCCCAGCTGGGCTGCGGGCCCCCGGGAGTCAGGGCGGCCCTCGGCTTCACGTTCCCTGACGTGGAAAATGAAATACCATGGTTAACTCACGATACTCATGGAAGCCTCTTTTGGTATGCTTTTAAATTAAATTTTTATATATCTTCTAAATCTTCAGGAAGCTAAAGGCCACATAAATATCGTCATTCACGTGAAAAGACATTTTGTCAATAACTTAGGAAGGATTCAGTAAACGTACAAGTATTTTGGGGGCTTATCGTGAAACCTAATTCATAAACTGAACGGAAGTGACCGAGATTTTCAAGACCTGGAAAGCAAGCAAAGGTCACGGGTCGGGACGAAGGCCGTCGCCGCACCCTCCCGCTGGGGCAGAGGCGCCCCGGCCGCGAGGCGAGGCGCGTCCGTAACCCCGTGCTGCAGCGCCTCGCGAGTGTGATTCTCATACAAAAGTGATAAATATTCTCTGTTCGGGACCCAGTCCAAACGGTGCCCAGGGCAGCATCCCACGCGGTGGCGGCCCCGCCTGGCTGCGTACTCGCGGGGCGCCCGGCGGCTGAGTCTCTGCTGTGCCGCGGCTCACAGCAGGTCCATCTTGGGTCTGTAGTGCAGCAGGAGCGGTGCTTTCTGCAAGACAAGGGGGCGAGGGAACGGCACCGGTGACCCCAAGGGGACAGGCTGGCGACGGTCCCACGCTCGTCAGCTGCCGAGGGTGAGCCCCACGCCCGGTCCCCACACCTGCTCCTGCCTTTTCTCTCTGTGCCCCACTCGCCCTCAGACCTCGGCTCCAGCTGGGGGTGTCGGCCAGGCTGTCTCTACCCTGCTCCCAGGCAGCCCCCGAAGATGGGGTTCCACTCATCTGCCTCCTGTTCCAGAGAGAGGCGCTGCGGCTCAAGGGCACGTGTCCTCTGACTGCAGCGGCCGCTCCCTCCCAGGACGTCGGTCACCTCAACCAGGAGGGGTGGGGCGAGTCAGGGCCTGGAGACCATGCCTTCCCCGACCACACAACTCTGAGGCCGACGCAGCTTCAGAACGGCTGCATTCCCGACAACCCCGTGCCTGGTCTGGTCATTATCCCTAAACTCCAGGAAACAGGTGCGCCCACAAAAGCAGCTGCTGTTCCGAGCGGATTCTGAAAATCGCATGCAACGCATCACGTCGAAGCCTCACCTTGAATCTCCACCTCGTGACGACGACGAATTTGAGCGTGTGGTCCTTGCCAAGGATCTCCTCGTTGCATAAAATGTCCAGCTGGCGGGAGAACAAGACCTCGGTCAGCGGGGCCAAGGGCTCGGCGCTCAGGACACATGGTCTCTGGTGCCACAGCAGTCACGCCAGTCGCTGAAGGGCCACCTGCCCTCTTTCTGGGGCAGCACAGGTGGGAAGCAGCGCCTGGAAGGCCCAATCCCCCCCCCCCCACAGAGGGCCCAGAGCACCGGGGGGCCTCCGTCCGCACACAACAAGACAGCGCCCCCGTCACGGGGCTCTGGCGCCCAGACTGCCTTCACTAGAGAGCACGCTGTCCCCCAACATCAGTCCCCTCTTGGCCAAGTTTGTCCCCTTCACCTCAGTGGAAAAAGGTAATGGGCTCCACAGACAGCTTCTCCCTTTTTAGTTTTAAAAGACTTTTTAGAGCGGTTTTAGGTTTGCGCAAAATTTCACAGAAGGTAGAGTTCTCATGTATCTCCTGCCCCCACCTCACAGCCTCCTCCACCATCAACAGCCCTGATGAAAACGTTCGTTACAACCGATGACCCCCAACACCACCCACAGCCTGTGGTTCACGTGAGGGTTCATGCTCCGTGTTGTGCCTTCTGGGGGTCTGGACAAACGTATGGCGACGTGTGTCCTCCATGACAGCATCACACAGAGTCGTTTCCCTGCCCTAAAAATCCTCGCTCTGCCTGTTCATCCCTCCCCGTTAACCCCCAGCAACCAGTGACCCTTTCGCTGTCTCCACAGTTTTACCTTTTCCAGAATGTCATAGAACTGGAGCACACAGTGGGTAGCCTTCTAGGCTGGCTTCTTTCTCTCAGTCGTACGCACTGAAGGCTCCTCCGTGTCTTTTCATGGTTTGATAGCTCCTTTCTTTTTAGTGCTGAGTAATATTTCTGTCTGGATGGGCCACTGTTTACGTATCCATTCACTTTCTGAAGGACACCTTAGCTGTTTCCAAGTTCTGACAACTACGATTAAAGCTGCTATGAACATCTGCGTGCAGGTTTCTGTGTGGACGTAAGTTTTCAGCTCCTCTGGGTAAGTTCCGAGGGGCTTGACGGCTGAACCGTATGGTGAGAGTGGGTTTAGTTTTGTGAGAAAGCACCCAGCTGCCTTCAGAGCGACTGCACCGTTCTGCGTTCCCAGCGGCGGGGATGAGGGTCCCTGCTGCTCAGCATCCGGCGTCGCCAGCGCTCTGGATTTCGGCCACTCTGACAGGTGTGGAGTGGATCTTGTTGTGATTTGCATTTCCCTGATGACAAATGCTGTTGACCCAGATGGTCTTTTATTTTTATATTTTCTAGGTTTTTTTGGCAGCACCGCACGGCTTGCAGGATCTTAGTTCCCGACCAGGGACTGAACCCGGGCCACCTCAGTGAAACTGCTGCGTCCTAACCACCGGACTGCCAGGGAAGCCCCCAGATGGTCTTCTAAACTTCTCTCTCAGGGCAAGGGAAGAAGGGTCCGGCACCTGTGTCTCCTGTGGCTGCCATGGAAACACCATAACTTTGGGACGTGTAACTCCAGAAACGCAGCCTCAGAGTTCAGCCTGGGAGTCCGCGGGCTCGCACCCTCTGGAGTCTACAGGGTTCCCTGACCTGTGGCTGCATCCCTCCAACCTCTGCTTCCATCCTCAGGTGGCCCTTCCACTCTGTCTCAAAACTCTCTCTACTCTTTTCTCTGCAGGAATCAATAGTTCATTCCTTTATATTGTTAAAAAAAATTGTGGTAAAATACACATAAAATTTACCATCTTAACCATTTTTAAGTGCACAGCTCAGTGGTATTAAACACATTCATCACGTGCAACTGTCACCACATCCGCCCACAGACTTCTCATCTTGTAAAACTGTAACTCTGTCCCCATTATAACTTCCCATCCCCCTGTCCCCAGCCCCTGGAAACCCTGATTCTACCTTCTGTCTTTATGACTCTAGGGACCTTGTACAGTGGAATCAGACAGTATTTGCCCCTTTGTGCCCAGCTCATTTCATTTGGCGTTGTGTCCTCAAGGTTCACCCACGTCGTAGCAGGTGTCAGAATTTCCTTCCTGTTTGGGGCTGAATATTCTATTGTATATTCTATTGTATGGACGGACCACATTTTGTTCATGTATCACCTTTTGCCTACTGTCAATAATGCTGCTATGAACATGGGGGTACAAATATCCCCTTGGGATCCTGTTTTCAATTCTTTTGGGTATTTTTACCCAGAGGTGGAATTGTTGGTGTTCATGGTAGTTCTATGTTTAGTTTTTTGAGAAACCCCCGTACTGTTTTCCAGAGCGGCTGCACCATTTTACATCCACCAACAGTGCACAAGGTGACAACCTCTCCATTTCCTCACCAGCACTTGCTTACTTATTTTTTACAGTAGCCATCCTACTGGGTATGCGCTGGGTCTCATTACAGTTCTGATTTGCATTTCCCCTATGATTAGTGATGTTGAGCATGTTTTTTTTTTTTGCGGTACGCGGGCCTCTCACTGCTGTGGCCTCTCCCGTTGTGGAGCACAGGCTCCGGATGTGCAGGCTCAGCGGCCATGGCTCACGGGCCCAGCCGCTCCACGGCATGTGGGATCCTCCCGGACCGGGGCACGAACCCGTGTCCCCTGCATCGGCAGGCGGACTCTCAACCACTGCGCCACCAGGGAAGCCAAGCATGTTTCCATGTGCTTGTCAGCCACTCATATATCTTCTTTGGAGAAATGTCTACTCAAGTTGTTTGAGTTTGTGTTGAATTTTAGGAACTGTCTATATATTCTGGATAGTAATTCCTTGTCAGAAATATGACTTGCAAATACTTTCTTCCATTCTGTACAATTTTTTTTTTTTAATTTCAAGGAAGTCCAAATTGTCTATTTTTTCTTTTGTTGCCTGTGCCTTGGGTATTCTATCTAAGCAATCACTGCCAAATCCAATGTCATTAAGTTTTTGTCCTATGTTTTCTTTTAAGAGTTTTATCGTTTTAGGTTTTACACCTACAATGTAGGTGATACATTTTTTGAAAAAAATATTTATTTACTCATTTGGCTGCGCTGGGTCTTAGTTGAGGCATGTGGGATCTTCGTTGCGGCACGCAAGGATCTTTAGTTGCGGCATGTGAGACCTAGTTCCCTGATGAGGGATTGAACCCGGGCCCCCTGCATTGGGAACACGGAGTCTTAACCACTGGACCACCAGAGAAGTCCCTTGAATTAATTTTTGTATATCGTATTAGGTAAGGGCCAAACTCCATTATTTTGCATGTGGATATCCAGTTTTCTCAGCACCATTTGTTGAAAAGACTATTGAAGGGTCCTGGCACCCTTGGCAAAAGTCAGTTGACCACATATGTGAGGGTTTATTTTTGAGCTCTCTATTCTGCTCCATTAGTCTGTCTGTCTTTATGCCAACACCACACTGTTTTGATTCGTGTTACCTTTAGAGTAAGTTCAAGTCCTCCAGTTTGGCTCTTTTTCAAGACTGTTTTGGCTATTTGGGTCCCTTGAGAGTCCATAAAAAATTTAGGATGGATTTTTTTTTTTCTGCAAGAAACATCTTTGGGATTTTGATAGGAATTGCACTGAATCTGTAGATTACTTGGGTAATACTGACATTTTAACAATTTTAAGTCTTCCAATCCATGAATGTGGGATGTGTTTCCACGTGCTTGTCTTTCTTTCAGCAATTTTCGTAACTTTCATTGTACAAGTCTTTCACCTCCTTGGTTAATTCATAAGTATTTTATTCTTTATGATGCTACTATAAATGAAATGAGTTCTGTAATTTCCTTTTCAGGTTGTTCATTGCTCATGTGAAAAAATGCATCTGATTTTTTTAACATCTTTATTGGAGTATAATTGCTTTACAGTGGTGTGCTAGTTTCTGCTTTATAACAAAGTGAATCAGCTGTACATATACATATATCCCCATATCTCCTCCCTCTTGCGTCTCCCTCCCACCCTCCCTACCCCACCCCTCTAGGTGGCCACAAAGCACCGAGATGATCTCCCTGTGCTATGCGGCTGCTTCCCACTAGCTATCTATTCTACATTTGGTAGTGTATATATGTCCATGCCACTCTCTCACTTTGTGCCAGCTTACCCTTCCCCCTCCCTGTGTCCGCAAGTCCATTCTCCACGTCTGTGTCTTTATTCCTGTCCTGCCCTTAGGTTCATCAGAACCATTTTTTTCCTAAGATTCCATATATATGTGTTAGCATATGGTATTTGTTTTTCTCTTTCTGACTTACTTCACTCTGTATGACAGGTCATAGACATACACGTCTAGGTCCATCCACCTCACCACAAATAACTCAATTTCGTTTCTTTTTATGGCTGAGTAATATTCCATTGTATATATGTGCCACATCTTCTTTATCCATTCCTCTGTCGATGGACATTTAGGTTGCTTCCATGTCCTGGCTATCGTAAATAGTGCTGCGGTGAACATTGGGGTACATGTCTCTTTTTGAATTACGGTTTTCTCAGCGTGTATGCCCAGTAGTGGGACTGCTGGGTCATATGGTAGTTCTGTTTTTAGTTTTATAAGGACCCTCCATACTGTTCTCCGTAGTGGTTGTATCAATTTACATTCCCACCAACAGTGCAGGAGGGTTCCCTTTTCTCCACACCCTCTCCAGCATTTATTGTTTCTAGATTTTTATTTTTGTTTTTGTTTTTTATTGTTTCTAGATTTTTTGATGATGGCCATTCTGACTGGTGAGAGGTGATACCTCATTGTAGTTTTGATTTGCATTTCTCTAATGATTAGTGATGTTGAGCATCCTTTCATGTGTTTGTTGGCAGTCTGTATATCTTCTTTGGAGAAATGTCTATTTAGGTCTTCTGCCCATTTCTGGATTGGGTTGTTTGTTTTTTTGATACTGAGCTAATGCATATGATTTTTCCGTTGACTTTCTATTCTGCTACCTTGCTGAATTAATTTATTAGTTCTGACAGGTTCTTTTTCATGTCTGTGTGTGTGGAGTTTTTAGGGTTTTCTACATATAAAATCATATCACCTGCAAACAGAGATCATGTTGTAAATTCTTCTTTTCCAATTTGGATGTGTTTTATTTCTTTTTCTTGTCTAATTTTTCTGGCTAGGATTCCCAGTGTTATGCTGACTAGAAAGGGTAAAAGTGGACCTCCTTGGCTTGTTCCTTATCTTAGAGAAAAAGCTTTTAGTTTTTCACCACTGAGTGTGATATTCATAACGGTTTTTTCATGTATGGATTTTATTTTACTTTCATATATGGCTACTCTTTCTAGTTTGTTCAGTGTTTTTATCATGAAAGGGTATTGAATTTTGTCAAATGCTTTTTCTGCATCAACTGAGATGATCGTGTGGTTTTTCCTTCACTCTGTTGATGTGGCATAATTATATTAATCAATTTTCATATGCTGAACCATCCTTGCATTCCAGAAATAAATCCCACCTGGGCATGGTGTGTAAAACCTTTTAACATACTGAATTCTGTTTGTTAGCATTTTGTTGAGGATTTTTGCATCAATGTGCATATGGGCTATCGGTCTGTAGTTTTCTTTTCTTGAAGTGTCTTTATTTGGCTTCGTTATCAGGGTTATGCTGGCCTCATGAAATGAGCTGGGAAGCGCTCCCTCCTCTTCGACCTTTTGGAAAAGTTTGAGAAGGATGGGTATTAATTCTTTAAATGTTTGGTAGAATTCAGTGAAGCCGTCAGGTCCAGGGCTTTTCTTTGTTGGGAGATTTTTGATTAGTGATTCAATCTCCTTATGAGTTATAGGTCTATTCAGATTTTCCACGTCTTTGTGATTTAGTCTTGATAGCTTTGTGTTTCTAGGAATTTGTCCATTTCGTTTGGTTATCCAATTTGTTGGCATACAATTGTTCATAGTGATCTCTTATAACCTATTTCCGAAGAGTCAGTAGTGATGTCCCTACTTCCATTTCAGATTACAGAATTTGAGTCTTCTCTTAGCTCATCCAGCTACAAGTCTGTCAACATTGCTGACCTTTCTGAAGAACCATTGATTTTCTCTATCGTTTTCCTATTCCCTATTTTGCCTATTTCTGTTCTAATCTTTATTATTCTCTTCCTTCCGCTAGCTTTGAGTTTAGCTTACTCTTCTTTTTCTAGTTCCTTAAGTTGTAAATTTACGTTGTTGATTTGAGATCTTCCTTGTCTTTAAGGTAAGTGTTTATAGCTATAAATCTCCCCCTTAGCACTGCTTTCACTGTATCCCATTAGTTTTGGTACGTTGTGTTTTTGTTCTCATTCTTCTCTAAGTATTTTCTAATCTTTGATCCATCGGTTGTTTAAAGCTGTGTCGTTTCATTTCCACAATTCTGTGCATTTTCCAGTTTTCCCTTGGTTATTGATTTCTAACTTCATGCCACTGTGGTCTGAGAAGATACTTTGTATAATATCTACTGAGACAATTTGTGTCTGCCCTTCTCTTATAAGGACACTTGTTATTGAATGTAGGGCCCACCTGGATAATACACGATGGTCTCTTCATCCCAAGATTCTTTACATGTCTGCAAAAATCTTTTTTTTCAAATAAAGTCATATTCACGTGTTCTGGGGGTTAGAAGTAGACATATCTTTTGGCTGCGTCACCACTTAACATACTACAGTCTGCCTTCTGACCCAACAAAATCCACATCCATCCCACATGCAAAACACATTCACCGAACCCCAACATCTCCAAGAGACCCAATCTACTCCAGCATCAACTCCAAATCCCCAAATCTCATCTACACACCATCAGCTCAAAGTCCCAGATCTTATCTTCTAAATCACAGGAATCAGGTATGGGTGAGACTCTGGGTACGATGCCTCCTGGGGCAAATTCCTTTCCAGCTGTGGATCTGCGAAACTAGAAAACACATTATCTGCTTTCCAAATACAAGGCTGGGGCAGGATAGATATTCCTAGTCCAAAAGGGAGACACATTAGAAGGCATAAGGGATCACTGGTCTCAATAAAGTTTGAAATCCAGCAGGGTAAATTCCATGAGGTTTCAAGGCCTGAGAACACCTCACTGTGGGTCAAGGTTCTGCTCTCTGGGCCCATGATGGCCTCACCCACTGGGCCCCAGGCTCTGCCTTGGAGTCATCTTCCTTTTTCTTTAGGGGTAGCTCACCTTGGCAGCTGAGCAGCTCCATCAGCCTATTTCCCGCGTGCAGAATTTTGGAAGTCTGATAGCCTTCTCTCATTTCTTCCTGTCTCTGTCCCCTTCAGTACGAGTTGGTGGTGTTTCTGCTGACAGCACATTCTTAGAAACCTTGTGAGTCTCCCATGTGTGTCAGAGGTCCAGGCTCTGCAGATCTTTCCTGGATAACTCCTCTCTATTCCGCCCATGAGATGGCTGAGCCACCATGAGTCAAACAACTAATCCCTTTAGCAAAAGGCTGAACAGCTACACACTTGGCCTTCTCTCCGGAGCATGTTTTTCTAACAGTCAAACTCCTAATATTACCATCTTTTTGCAATCTGGATAGGCTGTGACTTTTCAAAATCATCAAGTGCTGGTTCCTTTTTGCTTAGCAGTTCCTTCCTGAATTCATCTCTCTCCTCTGACATTTTATTACAGGCAGCAAGAAGAAACCAGACCACGTCTTCAGCACTTTGCTTGAAAATGTCCTCAGCTAAATATCCGTGTTCACCACTTCCAAGTTCTGTTTTCCACACACCGCAGAACACAACTCAGCCAGTTTTCTGCCACTGTGTAGCTAGAATCAACTTTTCTCCCCCATTTCCAATACTATGCTCCTTTTTCCCTTCTGAGCTCTCGCCAGTAGCATCTTTAATGCTCCTATTTCCACCAACACTCTGTTTGTGCAACACGCGCCTTCAAAGGTGACGGGCGCTTTCTCCACCACGCTCCGTGCTTCCCTCTCGGCCGTCCCCAGAGTCACCTTTAATGGCCACATTCATATCGACAGTCTCTTCAAGGCAATTCGGGTTTTTAAAAATCATGTTTCTCAAAATTCTTCCAACCTGTACCTCTTACCCAAATCCGAAGGCACCGCCACGTTTTTAGGTATTTGTTACAGCAGCACTCCACTTCCTGGTATTGAAATGTTTTGGTTTCCCATGGCAGGTATGACAACGTACCACAAACCTGGTGGCCTAAAACAACAGGTACTTATTTTCTCACAGATGTGGAGGCCAGAAGTTCAAAATCAAGGTGCCAGCTGGGCTGTGCTCAGTCTGGAGGCTCCAGGGGAAGATCCTTCCTGCCTCTTCCAGCTTCTGGGGGCTCCAGGCATCCACTGGCTCGTGGCCGCATCACCCCAACCTCTCGTCTCTGTCCTCACACCATCTTCTCCTCTGTGCGTGTCTCAAATTTCCCTCTGCCTCACTTTTTTGAGGGCACATGTCACTGAATTTAGGGGCAGCCCAGATAATCCAGGATTATCTCAAGATCCTTAACTTCAGTGTATCTGAAAACACCCTTCTCCTGGCAAAGGCCACGCTTACAGGTTGCGGGGCTGGCTGTGGACACGTGCCTTTGCGGGGCCACGTCCTACCCACTGCTCTCTACAGCCCAGCTCAGAAGTCGGCCTCGTTTCTCCGTCCTTACCGCACTACCCTGGCCTGTCTCTCCTGGACTTCTGCCACAGACTGCCCTCAGCTGGTCACTCCTGCTTCCGTCTCGGAACCCCAGCAGCCCGCTTGCCTCACAGCCTCAGGGCCGTCCTCATCACAAGCCCCGGCTTAAGGCCCCGCAGTGCCTCCTCTTGACACCTGCTGGCACACAGCCAGCTCCTGCTGGCAGTTTATGTCTGAGCACAAGTGAACGCCCTCGGGAGGGCTCCCCAACGACCCCTAAGCTGATGTGCTCTCACCCCTCTGTGCACCGCCCTGCTCTGCACCACTAGGGGACACGTTTTACTTTATTCTCAGCATTTATCGGAACTGGGAAGTATCTTCTCTATCTACCCACCCGTCCTATCCATCCCCATCCACCCATCCATCTGTTTGCGAAACTGAAGAACAGAACTTCTCTTTGTGGTGAAAATATTTAACATATCCTGGGCTTCCCTAGTGGCGCAGTGGTTAAGAATCCGCCTGCCAATGCAGGAAACACGGGTTCGAGCCCTGGTCCGGGAAGATCCCACATGCCGCAGAGCAACTAAGCCTGTGCGCCACAACTACTGAAGCCTACGCGCCTAGAGCCCGTGTTCCGCAACAAGAGAAGCCACCGCGGTGAGAAGCCCGTGCGCCGCAACGAAGACCCAACACGGCCAAAAATAAACAAATTAATTAATTAATTAAAAAAAAAAAGAAAACATTTAACATATCTTGTTGCAGCCCCCTTGGCATTTCCTCTTCTCTCAACAGTGGCTTCCTGTGTTTGTGGGCTCTGGGCCTCCACTGTCTTCACCGCTATTTACTATCACACTATCTGGGGGTAGGCAAAACAAATTCAGACTTTTTTTTCTGATTGAAAATGTCCAAACAGGACTGTAAAAAGCAAACAAACCTGAAGAACTTCAGAAGTATCACTTTTACAAATAAGAAGTGACTCGTTATAGCTTCTATTTACCTCGTTGAAAGACGAGAGGTTGAGTTTTTTGGCAATGAACTTCTTTAGGTGCAGGACTGTGGCCTGGGCTGAGCAGCGGATCCATTTCCGTTTCAAGCCCCGCAGTTTGCTGCTGTTGCATTCCAGACAGATGCTCACCTTCAAGAGAAAGGACACAGCTGGGCAGGCTCATCAAGGGGGACCCTACTGGGTTACTCACTGGAGGCGTTCTTAGATATCTACTGATTCCATTAAATCTAAGAATGCTGACTTTTTTGAAATCATAAATCTGTTTTGACCTAAACACCGTAGAAAAAGAATTTCACTTTAATCTTTTTACACTGTCTTAAAAATCTGTTTACTATTTGCCATTTTGTGAAATAAAAATCTAACACTATTTATTCTGTCTTATTAGCATAGTACTTTAAAGTAAACCCGAGAATTATTTATTTATTGTGGCAGTATGTGCTGGCCTCAGAGTTAAACCGACAAAGACTGGAATCCTGTTCTAAAAGCTTCTGGCCGGTGGGACACACACGCATCTCCCCAGAGGCTGTGCTAAGTGCTCTGCAGAATGACAAGGAAAGACACGCCACACACACGGCAGGCACCACGGACCCTTCATCGAGGAAGGTCTCCAAAGGAGGTTGAAGAAGACAGCAAACTCACTAGAGAACAGCGCACTCTGAGCAAAGGCACAAAGTCTGAAGCTCACAGCTCTATCCTGGAAGATCGCGTTCAGTGGGATTAGAGTACTAGGTGTGCGGCAGGAACTTCAAGGCAACAAACTAAGGAAAAGTGGCTCTCGGATCAGGTGGTGCCTGGCAGACGCAGAAGGGAATGTGCTGAGGAGGGACAGCCCTGGCCACAGGTGAGCAAGTCCCACCTTAGATACCTCACCTCTCCTCACTCACAGGCAAGTAATTCTCCAGCAACAGCCACAAAAAATGGCACAAGCAGACCCCCAAAACTCAGACCAAAGAATTAACAAAGGAATTAACTGAAGCATGTATGTCTAAAACTACTAGAGGCATGAAAGAAGGAACTAAAAACATAACACACTAAGAATAAAGAACAGGCAGGTATAAAAGATAGCCAAATGTAACTTCTAAAAATAAAAAACCTATTCACGTAAATTAAAAATTCAATGGATGGTCAAATCACAGATGAGTCTCAGCTGAAGGCAGATCAATTTTCTGAAAGATCAATTTGAGCAAATTATCCAAAAGAAGTATAGAGACAAAGATATCAATTAAAACAAGAAAACAAAAGAAAGGTAAGAGACGTGCAGACAGATCAAAGAGTCTAACAAACACATCACAAGAGTTCCAGAGGAAAGAAGGGAAAATAAGGGAAAGGCAAAATTTGAGAAATAATGACTAAGGATCCCCCCAAACGATCAAAGACATAAGTCCTCAAATTCAGGAAGCAAAAGAACCCAACACAAAGGAAGTAAGAGGAAACCTGCACCCAGACAGACATGGCGACCCCTCAGAACACAGGGGGCCAAGGCCCAGGGCAGCCACAGAGGTGGGCCCACAGGCAGGGCTGGCGCTCAGGCCACTGAGCCCAGACCCTGAGCCGACAGGAAGGAAGAGCAAAATTATCATTCAGGGTGGAAATGAATAAAGTCATCTGCAAACGGAAACAGAACGTAAGTAGGAGAAGATGTAGCTCAGGAAGAAAAAGCCTGAAGTGGATGGACTGGCTGGGGTTTAGGAGGTGCCCAGGCAGCAGGCAAGCTCTGGTGTTGTTTAGGAGGGACAGAAAGAGACTCATGTTAATTCTGGACTTTTAAAAAATGCATTCATTTTAGAATTTCATTAGCACTAAAATAATAAAAATAGGACATATAGCCTGCTAATCAGAGGCAAAAAAGAGATTAAATAAAATTTATTAATTCTACAGAAGGGACTCAAGGGAGGGGGCACAAAAAATACAAATGGAAAGCACAAACTAAAGCAGAAATAAACCCAACTTTACTAGCAATCGTGGTAAATGTAAAATAACTTGCCAGTTAAATAAATTTTGATTCGATTTTTAAAAAACCCCCAGCTCTCTGCTGTAGAAAGTGTCACATTTAAGAAAGATGTTAAAAAAACTGAAATACCAGGCAAATACCAGGCAAAAATAAAACAGACAGAGTTGTGTTATTACATAAAACAGATTTCTTAATAAGAAAAAACTCCCTAAGGATGGGAAGCATTTCTAAAGCTGAATGCACCTAGTAGCAAACTTAAGAATGATGAGAAGTAGAAGTCCCCAACGCAGTGGGGGTTTCAGAGTCTCTGTCAGGGATGCTGAATTCTGCCGGCCTCAGGCACACGGGCCAGATGGGAGTCTGTGTCCAGGGCCAAAGCAACAGGCCCAAGACCCCGGCAGGAACCAGCCGCACACAGAACCCTCAACCCAGCACCGGTAGCCGCGTGGGCACGGGCAGGGCCGCCGGCTGCACTCCTGTACCCCAGCCGGAGAGGCCTCGTGCCCGTCAGAGGTGCTGACCAGGTAGAGAGGGCACAGGCTCCCCAACTACGGGCGTGTCACCCGACGAGGAGGCTCAGTTTGTGTGAACGCAGGGGTGACCACGGAGTATGACCTACGTGGAGGAACTCAGGACGGTAACATGTTTAAACCTTTCACACAATGTTAACCTCTGGACTGTATGAATGTATTACCTATTTAAACGCACCAAGATAAAGCATGTTTGTAACTTTTTAACTGCTTCACTGCAGTATAACGTACATGTATCTGTTTTAAGTATACCATTCAGGAATTTTTAGTAAATTTAGAGAGGTGGGCAGCCATCACCACCATCCAGTCTGAGGTCAGTCCCATCAGCTCATAAAGACTCTTGGAGCCTTGGTGGTCAACCCCGCCCCACCCCAGGCGGCCGCCCCTTGGCCTGTGTCTGTGGACCGGCCTCTCCTGGACGGGCTATAGATGGGATCATACAAGACGCAGTCTTCCCGTCGGACTTCTCTCGCACAGTAAAGCGGTGTGAGACTCAGGTGCACGGCAGCACCTTGCACCGCTGACCAGTTCCCATTTGTCAACATCCCCGTCAACGCCTGTCAGTGGCTGTCTTTTTGATTGTAGCCATCCTGGTGAGTGTAAAATGCTACTTCATTATGGTTTTAATCGGCATTTCCCTAATGACTAAAGTTGTTGAACATCATTTCACGTGACTATTAACCATTTGTAATTCTTCTTTGGTGAAACGTCTACTGAAATCTTTTCCCAATTTCTTAATTGGATTGTTTATCTTCTTATTAGTTTAAGAGTTATATATTATAGATACAAGTCCTTTTCAGAAACGTGATTTGCCAGTATTTTCTCGCAGTCTGTGGCCTTTTAAAATTTTCTTAATAGAGTCCTTTGAAGAGCAGCAATTTTTTTTTTTTTTTGCTGCACTGTCGTTAGGCCCCTGACCAGGGACTGAACATGGGCCCTCGGCAGTGAGAGAGCAGAGTCCGATCCGTCGGACCAGCAGGGAGGTCCCAAAGAGCAGCAGTTCTTTTCTTTCTTTTCTCAAAGTGCTGCTTGCTTTATGTTTGTCTTATTTTCTGGCCCCACCATGCGGCACGCAGGATGTTAGCTCCCCGATCAGGGATCAAACCCACACCCCCTGCAGTGGAAGTGTGGAGTCCTAACCACTGGACCGCCAGGCAAGTCCCACGAGCAGCAGTTCTTAATTTCATGAAGTCAGTTTATCAATTTTATTTCCTGAGTTGTGTTCTTGGTTTTGGATCTGAGAACTGCAGGCCTAACCCAAGGCCCTAAACAGTTTCTCTCATGTTTTCCTATAAAGGTTTTCAACTTTCAGCTCTTATATATATTTTTTAATCAATTTATTTATTTTATTTATTTCATCTTTGGCTGCATTGGGTCCTTGCTGCAGTGCGCGGGCTTCTCATTGCGGCGGCTTCCCCTGTTGCAGAGCATGGGCTCCAGGCGCGCGGGCTTCAGCAGCCATGGCACAGGGCCTCAGCAGCTGTGGCTCGCAGGCTCTAGAGCGCAGGCTCAGTAGTCGTGGCGCACGGGCCCAGCTGCTCTGTGGCATCTGGGATTCTCCCGGACTAGGGCTCGAACCCGTGTGTCCTGCATTGGCAGGCAGATTCCTAACCACTGTGCCACCAGGGAAGCCCTAGCTCTTATATTTTGAGTTAACTTTCGTATGTGGTGTGAGGCAAGGCACAAATGAACCTTTCTGCACGTGGATGTCCGTCCAACTGTCCCAGCACCACTCGAAGAAGACACTATCCTTTCCCCAGTGAAGGGCCGTGGCACCTGTGCTGAAAACCAAATGACCCTAAATCTAAGGGCTTATTTCTAGACTCCAGAATTGGTTCCATTGACTTAAAAGTCTACCTTAACACCTAAAACAAACGCCTTGATTACTGTAGCTTTTTAGTAAGGTCTGATTTTCAAAATTTTCAATGCATACTTTAAAAAATAAGTAGTGGGTCAAAAAGAAATCACAATGAACATTTCAAAATATTTAGAACCAAACAGTATAATGGAAACTATATGAAAATTCAACTCAAGAAATTAAGAGAAAGTACAAGAGGGAACGTAGAAAGAGCAGAAGGAAGGAGCGACTGGCGGAAAAGAAAGCGGTTCAGCCTCTGGCAACGACAACCAGAAAGCGAGAGGCATGCTGCGATGTCAGGAAGAGAGGCGGAGGAACAGGCGCACAGGCGGCAAGACCCGAAGACAAGCGCAGAATTCTAGGGGCCGCTCCATGCCCCAAGCGCTGAAAACCTAAGCGCAAACAGAAAGTTCCCTAGAAAATATATAACTGATCAAATGAACTAAAAAAGAAACAGAGGATTTGAGTAGGACTGAAATCATTAAGGAAATTTAATTTGTATTGATAGTTAAAAATCTTCCTACTCCTCTCCAAAAGAATTAACCAAGATCTGATGGCTTTATACAGGAAGTTTAACCAAAACAGTCAACAAAACTGATGCTCTTAATCTCATACAAACTCTCCTAGAGAATAAAAATGGGAAAAGAGAGCCTATCCCCAGCTCTGAGACTTACTACCTTGATACCAAAACTAAACAAATGCCTATGAAAAAGGTGTAGGCCAATTCCTGCAAAATGACTGAGAAAATGTCAAAAGACCCAACACACAGGTCCACGAACACAGAAAGCGATCTGCATGTAAAGGAACTGAGAGAGCCACACCCCGCTCCCCGGGAGCTGGAGATGGAAAGGAAACGACCCGCGGAACCCAGGGAGTCTGGGATGGGCAGCGCGTGGAGGACGTGCCCGGGGAGGCTGGGGCCAGCACCCAGGAGTCCGTGAGGGCTGCAATAATCAGAGCATCAGACAGAAAACAGTGAAATCCTCACCCCGCGGCGTGTGCTATGCACACGACACGGGACACACTGCCGGTCCTACAGCTGTTCCGTGTCACACGGCACCTACAGGAAGCAGCTACATGACGCACCTCAAAAAAACTCAAAAGTATAATTTTACCTGAGGAAAGGGAGCTGCACAAAGACACCTGTTCTCTGGGCTCTGTGGTTTGTGGCTACATCATACCACCCAGCTGGGATACCCGCTCGGTAAACAGTCTCTGGAGAGCCCAGCAAGTCCCGCGGCTGCTTTCTAACCCTTCCTGGGCTGAGCGCTTGACGCCCTGTACCGCGCGCTGCCCACGCTCCGGGCCCTTCCCCGCCTGGCAGGCCCTGCTCCAGGCCCGGCCCACCCTCTCCCCTCCTCCCGCGCCCCACGCCTGGAGCCCCTGGTGCGTCCCCGCCCCGTGGCTCCGAGCGCCCCGACCCCAGGGCGCCTCAGCCCCACAGGGCGGGGGTCCTCACGGGCAGCACGTGGCGCGTCCTGGGGAAAGGCAGGCCAGGTGCCAACTGACCGAGCGCCCCCCTGCCGGCGGCAGGACACCTGATTCCCAAGGGAGCCACGGTGCGGGCGGCAGGGACACTGCCGAACAGGCGGCTGAACAGACTCCCAAGCACGGACCCTTTGAGCCCCGCCGTGGACGAAGCCACCGGAAGGACAGAGTGTCCTGCAAGGAACAGGCCCGGGACAGCCAGGAGCAGATAGGCCGCCAGGGTCCCGATGCCGGAGAGGAGGCGGGGGGACGGCAGCAGGTGGGGGGCCAACCCCACGCTCGAAACCGCCTGTGTAATCAACAGCAGCCCACCCCCGGCGCAGGCTGAGGGGGACGGAGCTGGCCCTGCCCGGCGGGCCTGCAGCTGCCCTGGAGGATGGAGGGGGCAGGCTCTCGGGAGGAGCGGCCTGGAACTAAAGTAACAACAGAACAACTTATTTGAAAAAGGGAAGAACAGCTGTGAAGGGGTCTGAAGTTGAAGCCCGGGGGCTCAGGGTCCCAGGAGGCAGCGTGGAGAGCAGGGTCCCCGAGTGGGAGGAGAAGGTGGGACGCCAGACACAGGATGGTAGCAGGGACGGGCTCCCAAAGCCCTGACCTCCCCGGGACAGGGATCCTGCCAAGTTCCGAACGGGGGAACCAGTGCGCTCCTGAGGAAGGGGAACGTCTGAGGAAACGAACGTCCCGGTTACTGGAAGCCATCTGGTGAGAGCACGCGGCTCAGAGCAGTGACAGACCAGGTGCGCGGCGCTTAGCCTGGCACTGACTCTCGCCCCACAGGGGTGCAGCGGGGCCCACCCCCCGGGCAGGCTGCTGGCTCTTGAAAGCAACCGATGAAATAGACAAATCTTCAGCACGTTTGGGGTAAAAAAGAAAAGGGAAATATTAGTAACGATAAACACGCACACTGGAGATTGAACGCTGACGGAGCAGGGGTTAAGCGAGAGGGCCCACCCTGTGCCTGGAGGGGCCGGGCCGGCAGCTCCGACCCCAGATCCCGGCGGGGCCTCCAAGTCCAACAAGAGGTAACCCAGCAGAGCCCAGAAGAGGGGACACGCGGGCCCCAGAGGGGCGCCCTTCACCCCAATGTTTATTCTTCTCTCCATTCACGTGAAACGCATCTGAGCACACCCAGCATTCCACACAGACGCGCTTCTACTCCTGTGATGCTTGTGGAAATGTTTTAGCAACACAAGCATATAAACTGGAAAATTAAGGTTCCGTTATTCCATTCTTATACCTAAACCACACTATTTAATTATGTCTTTAATAAACGTAAGTGTACACATCCTCACGTTTTACTTATTAAATATATACGCACTGATTAGAATATGTACGTATACATAGAAAGGTGGATATAAGCAGACCTTGCTTTATTGAAGATTTGTGGCAGCCCTGTGTTGCCAGATGATGACCAATTTTAATTAAGCAATGTGCGCTGTTTTTTAGACATGACGAGACTACACACTAAACATACTACTGCACAGTGGAAACGTAACCTTTATATGCACTGGGAAACGCCCAAAATTCACAACTTGCTTTATATAGTGGTCTGGCACCGAACCGCAGTGTCTCCCGAGGTGTCCGTCTGTGTAAGTATGTGTGTGGGTAGCTATGCTACATATATACCCTGATACAGCCAATGCCCCTAAGTTTTCGTGGCTATTCCCGAGCTTTTCCTCTCCCAGATGAGGCTCAGAAGCCACTGGTTAAATTCCTATTTATAATAAACGGTTAAAGTCACAACCACGGAGATTAATTTGGGGAGAACTCACATCTCAACACCAACCTTCCATCCAGAAACATCCAACCATTCGGTTTTCTCTTACGTTCTCCCACAGAAGAGCGTGTCTTTGTTTCAACCTCACACATTTCTCGTTAGGCGGCCTCAGCGTTTTTATTAGTTATGGGAACAAGGCCGCCCACAGCGTCTGACTATGACACACTGGCCCCATCACCCGAACGAGCAGTTTCCCTGCGCTGTCCGAGGTGCCACGTCACAAGACGTGTAATCTGAGAGCCACGGTGCGCCCAGCTCACGTTCTCCCGTCTCCTAACTATTTGGGCTGGATCCCCCAACTCATGCTGAGTGACAGCTGAGAAGGGACATTTTCTTGTTCTGACACTCATGAGACAACTCTGTTCCATCATGAAGTGTGACGACTGCTGTAGCTGTCGAGTCAAGGTACCCTAATAAAAAGATCCATAGACATGGATATGGGATTTTATCAAACTCTTTTGTAGAATCACTGTGATGATTTAGTTTTCCTTTTTTAATCTGATAATGTAGTAAGTGACATATGAATAGCGCCCTCAAGGTTACATTCTCACCTTATTATGCATGGAAGATGCCTGTCCCACATTCTCCACAGGACAACCCGGGGTTGGGGTCGGGGGGGAGCTGAAGATACCCACGGCGGGTGGAGGCCGAACTTTAAACTTTTTATACCTAAAATGTTCCACAGTGAGTATGCATTACTTTGGCAATTAAAAAAAGAAGGGAATGGGAATTCCCTGGTAGTCCAGTGGTTAGGATTTGGTGCTCTCCCTGCCGAAGGCCCTGGTTCGATCCCTGGCCTGGTCGGGGAACTAAGATCCCACAAGCCACGCGGCACGGCCAAAAAAAAGGAAAGAAAGGTAAGTAAAGGAAGGAATTGGAAGGAAAAACTAAGAAAGTTGCTGACGTTTTAACGTCTGTACTGTCTGTCGCCCTCGGCCTCCTTCTTTGTTAAAGGAGAAGCGCCCCTGGGAGGGCGGGGGCCGAGGCAGCGCCCACCTGCTCGTCGCTCCTGTGGTAGTCGCCGTCCTCCTCCTGCTTCTCTTCTGCCGCTTCTTTGTTCGAACTGTCATCCGCTTTGGTTTCTCCTTTTAGCAAAAACAGAAAATACTGGGTCATGAATCCAAAGTGTTAAACCGTTGTTTTTTAACTCTACCGTACACTTGAACGCTATAAAAACCCACTGTATTAAGAGTTTGCACACGTGAGAACTGGGGGAGCGCTGCTCACCACGGTGCTTTACGCGCTGCGCCCTCGGGGCCAGTGGCACGTGTCCGGGCAGAGGCGCCCCACCAGCCCAGCAGCACCGACGCCTCGCGCCTCAACTACGCCAGGCAGCGAGCCATCCCCGAACTCTCACTGTTCCGGCATGGCTTTAAATGTTAAGACCCCACTTAGGGAAAGGCGGGATTCCTGGCTCCCTAGCTGCCTCTTGGCCTCGCCTCCCCGGGGGCCCCGAGCTCGCACAGTCTGCAGCCCCCGCTTCCCAGGCCGACAGCCGAGCCTCTCCCTGCTGCTCACACTGTTAGAAAAGCACACGGCGGACTAAAGGGGTTTCGGAATCTGTGTGGTCCATGGTGTCAAAGATTCAAATAAGTTGTTATGATACGTACAGATTCTAAAGCACCATTAATTTTACGTCATAGCCAAAGTGGAGTTTGGCCATTCTGTGAGAAAACAGACAAAGCCAGGAGAAGAGCCCTGGGAGGCCCGCCGTCTGCATGCCCGTGCTCCCTCCACACCCCACCTCCAGGCACCTTCGGGTACCCCCTCAGGCTTCCTCTCACTGGCCCACCACGTAACCCCTCGGTCGGAGACCCCATTTCTCAGCACCACCTAAGTGACACTGACGACTGCCCACACCTCTGTCAAGGACCTGTGTGGGGAGTGGAGGGACACAAGGGGCTCTTAGCAAAAGGTCTAGCAAATAAAACCCAGCTCACTCACCATTTCGATGGGAATCTAGGTGCTGTTTTGCAGAACAGGTCTCCCCCTTGATGTCTCCAGGCACTTCCAGGCCTAATTTGTGGTAGAATTCCCTCTGTTTTCTCATTTCCGCTATTAAAAATTAATATACAATCCTTAATCTTAAGTAGGCAACGGATCACATTAAAATTCTGCTCACAAGTATCACATGAAGAAAACTGAAGATTTGGATTAAAAGTCTGAAGGCTTCTACTCGTGAGAAAATAACAACTTTGGACTGTGCCCCCTCAAATTTTGGAGCAGCTACCAGCTGTGGGCCGTGGGGCGCGTCCCGGGTCGGGGCCTGAGCCCCCCAAGTGGAGGTGCTGCCGGTTCTCTGGATGCGCGTTCACAGCCCCGCAGGCCCCTCCCAGGCAGGGCTGCCGTCCCCACCGCTGCTGTGGCCGCCCCTAGGAGTGCCCGACGGGGGGGAACCAGTACTCCCTGGCGTCTGTGGCTGGCGGTCACAGCTCGCTGAGTCCTGGAGGCACGGAGCCGCCCACCACAGGGGAAGGGTCCCTACTGAACGGGGGCGACGGGCACCACGCGGCCTCCTGCCCTGGCCGTCGGCCTCCAACCACTGAGTGGGGACTGGGCCGGGCGGCGAGAGGACAGCTGGTCCAGGCTGCACCCTCGCACGTTCCTGGGAAGGGCCGACTCCGAGACACAAGGTGGCTACTGACGTACAGTTCACATGCACGTAGCGAAGCAACAGTCACCGCCCAGGGCCACACGGGAGGTAGCAAAGGAAATTTAAACCCAAGCTGCTCAAACCAATAACGTATAGGTCATGCTGTGAAAAATATTTATGTGCAGGTGACCAAGGAAAGCTCGGTGGCACTTTTCGCCTGCACGTTTGTCTCGCCTAAACACCACGAGCTCCGCAAGGGCCAGGAACATGCCTTGGTCGCTTCCTGGACCCACACAGACACTCCAAAATACCTGATTGTGCAGGAAAAAATAAAAGTGTGAGGCAGCGGACCCGGACGGAAAGAGGGAGGCCTCTCAGAACTGCACTGAGCACAGGCCAGCCCAGAGCCGGGGCGTTGGAACCAAAGACGGCGAAACCACGAGTCTGTGAAGTCTGGGATCAGCTTGAAAGGAAACGTTTCCCTTAAACAGTCACATAAATGCCGGCAGAGGAATGAAGCCCTGAAACGCACTGCTGCTGGTGGGAGCCTGTTCCTATCTGTCCTTCAGGGAGGGCAGGGTCTGCAGGTAACAGCCCCCCTGATCAACGCGAAGAGGGACTCCTCACCTGACAGGTGGACAGGATGCCGCTTCACACACGGGCAGACACTGCACTTGGAACGCAGTGAGGGTCTGTGGCCGCCCCGCGTCAAGCGAGTCTGTCGGCACCTTTTTCCAACAGCGTCTGCTCACTTTGGGTCCCGTTTTGGTAATTCTCGAAGTACTTCAAACTTTTCCATTATTGTTTTATTTGTTATGGTCTCTGTGATCAGTGATCTTTGATGTTACTATTTTAATTGTTTTGTTTTGTATTTTTAATTAAAAGATGTATACTGCTTTTTAGGCATAATGCTATCGCACATTTAATAGACCGCAGTATAGTGTAAACGTAAGTTTTTTATATGCACTTGTGTATGATCTGTGTGATTCACTTTATTGCAACATTCGCTTTACTGTGACGGTCTGAAACCGAACCTGTGGTATTTCCGAGGTCTGCCTGTACCTGATTTTAATTTCCATTTCTTTAATTTTCACCTATAAGAATGAAAAAGGATTGAAAAATAACAATACTCAATGTCAGATATACACAGGTGTAGAAATGTCAACTGGGATAACTTTTCAGGAAAGTACCTCAGCATATATATAAAAAATATTTTAAAACTTAACTGCTGACCCAAAAGTCCCTACTGCTAGTGATGTATCCCAAGGAAATAACCGGGTAAGGGCATAAGAAGATAAAACCTTATTTGCAACAGTGAAGTATCAAAAACAACCTAAATGGTAAGTGTCTGACAACGTGGGCTGGGCCAATCAGAAGAGCTGACTCCCGGGGCTTCGCTGGTGGCGCAGTGGTTAAGAATCCGCCTGCTAATGCAGGGGACTGGGTTCGAGCCCTGGTCCGGGAGGATCCCACATGCCGCGGAGCAATTAAGCCCGTGCACCACAACTACTGAGCCTGCACTCTAGAGCTCGCAAGCCACAACTACGGAGCCCGAGTGCCACAACTACTGAAGCCCGCACGCCTAGAGCCCGTGCTCCACAACAAGAGAAGCCACTGCGATGAGAAGCCCGCGCACCGCAACGAAGAGTAGCCCCCGTGCGCCACAACTAGAGAAAGCCCGCACGCAGCAGCGAAGACCCAATGCAGCCAAAAATTAAATAAATAAAATGAAATTTATAAAAAAAAAAAAAAGAAGAGTTGACTCCCCGCCAGACTCATTCTGTCCCAGAAGACATTTCCAGACAGGGCCACAGAGCCGCAGAACCCTTCTCAACACCACATTGGAGATACCACTATCGTCCACTACTGACAGCTGACACGCAAGATAAATCTAACTTATGTGCTACGCTGGGGTAAGAGAGTGGGCCATTTACTCAGTGGATACTTTGCAGCCAACAGAAAAGATGACGCAGATCATATTTATGGATGCGGGGCAGCTCTGCAACAAACTGTTATGAGAACATTACAGACAGAATACGACCTCATTTTGGGGTGAAAGTGATGACGGTAAGACTAGGATGCTGTGAGGTCAGGGGAGGGAGGAAAGGCTTACAGAAAGTAACACCACCCTGGGCACATGTACTCCACTGCACCACAAACCTCGGGCTCATCACAACAGATGCAGGAGCATCATCTGACGGAATCCAACACCCACCCCTGACAAACAGCAGCCGTGCCTGATGAAGGGCACGCAGGAGCCTGCAGCCGACTTCAGGCCTGCGGGTCGGAGACTGAGCGCCTCCCCGGGGTCAGGAACAGGACGGGTCCCACATCACAGAGTTCTAGCCCGGGGCTGGCAGACGCTGCTGTGAAGCACACACAGTGAACATCTGGGGCTCTGTAAGCTGGACATCAAAACTGAGACATTTCGTCAGTACTTACGCAACAGAAGAGAGAACAGAATTTTTATTGAGGAAACTGAAATAGATATATATTCAATACAATATGTACACAGGCATACATATCGGGTGCACTGCTGCCATTATTATTTTGAACAAACTGTTATCTATTAGACAAATGAAGAATAAGAAAATTAAGCGTCTTTATTTTACCTTCACTTATTTCTTCTTTGATGCTCTTCCTTTCCTTAGTAGATCTGAGTTTCCGACCTTTATCATTTTCCTTCTTTCTAAAGAACTTCTTTTAACAACATCTCTAGAAGGCAGGTTTACTGGCAACAAATTCTCCCAATTTCTCTTTGTCTGAGAAAGTCTTTATTTCTCCTCACTTCTGGAGGATAATTTCTCAGGGTACAGAATCCCGGGCTGCTGGTTTTTCTCTCAATGCTGTAAATATCTCGCTTCACTCTTTGCTCGCAAGGTTTCTAAGGAGAGGTCAGATGTAATTCTTATCTCAGTTCCCCTGTAGGTAAAGTGTACCCCTCCCCTCCAGCTCCTTTCGGGACTTTTTTCTTTATCTTTGACTTTCTGTACGTTGAAACCGACATGCCCAGGTGTAATTACTCTGGCATTTGTCCTGCTGGGTGTTCTCTGGGCTTCCTGGATCTGTGGTTTGGTGTCTGACATTGATTTGGGGAAATTCTCAGTTAAAATGTTTCAGTATTTCTTCTGTTCTTCCCTCTCTTCTCCTTCTGGATTCCCCATTATGTTACACCTTCGCCCCACAGGCCTTAGATGTTCTGTTCTTTCAGCCTTTTCCCTTTGCTTTTGGGTTTTCAGGGACTCTGTCGAGATGTCCTTTTGCTCAGAGGTTCCTTCCTCAGCCGTGTCCACTCTAATCAGCCCATCAGAGGCAACCTTCATTTCTGCTGCAGGGCTCTGATCTCTGGCGTTTCTTTTCGGTTCTTCCTTAGGATTTCCACCTCTCTGCTCACATTCCCCTTATGTCCTGCATGCTGTCTACTTTATCCATTAGAGCCCTCAGCACGTTGACCACAGTTGTCTTAAGTCCCGGTCTGATAATTCCAACATCCCTGCCATGTCTGGTTCTGATGCGTGTTCCATCTCTTCAGATTCTGTTTTTTGCCTTTTAGCATGACTCGTCATTTTTTTCTTGTTAGCTGGACATGACACTGGGTAAAAGGCACTGCTGTGAATAGGCCTCAGTGCTGTGGTGGTGGGTGGCGGGGACAGGACACCCCACAGCCTTGACCACGGTTGTCCTCGGTGAGCTTGAGCCTTTGGACTGTGAACCTCGCTCGTGCTTCTCAGGTTTTCCTCCCCACTCGGGCGGGACAAGGTGGCTGAAGTTGGGTCTTTCCTGCCCCCAGGCCAGTTTTGCTCCGATAATAGCCCAGCAGGCAAGGTTGTGGTTAACCGGGTCCCCGGAGGTCAGGTCTTCTTCAGACGTACCCGGGGCTTGGGGCACTTCTTTCCCCTCCCCTGCTGGGGGAACCTGGTCGAGTTCCTGGAGACGAACCTCACAGCATCGCGAGGCCCACTGTGAGACCAGCCCCCGGGCAGGTCTCAACTCTTGGACTTGTCTACCAGGAGCCTCAGTGACCCCTCAGCCACAGGTCAGTCTCTCCTGCCCAGGCTCTGGCTCCTGGGCGTTTCCGGTCCTGAGTCTGCAGCAGGCAGCCGTGTGCCCCCGCGTCTGTGGTCAGTGCCCCATCTCGGGGGCAGCGGCTGGCCCTGCACCCTCCTCTCTTACAGTCTAAGAACTGCCGATTGTTCAGTGCGTTCTGCCTTTTACTTGTCGTTGGGACGAGTGGAGACTTCTAAGCTCCTTAGGTGAGGCACCAGAAACCTGAAGTCACGAAGTTAAAAACACAGTAGCAATACCCGAGCGTGAACTTTGCAGTGCGGCCACTAACGAGAAGAGTGGACGCCTGTCGGGTGGCGGATGACGTTTGTTTAGTGGGGTAAAAAGTGCGTGCCGCTTAGCGTCAAAACTGACCACTCATGTCCATCTGTAAGGAGATCTTACATACTTCACCTTGAAAATGTCTTTGCACACAGAAATACTGACCTCAGTCCAGAGCAGTCATCACTCAGAAGGCGCTGAGGGAATTCTATTAGATTCTTCTCTTGGGATTTGCCTTTGTTCCACAGACTGATCACTTCCCAGTGGAGGTCAGGTGGATGCCCCTCGACTGCACAGCTAAATGGATTCTGAAACACGGAAGCTGCTTCACCTGCACCAGGCCCCAGACTCCACCAGGGCTGTTTGCTGGGGCTCAGCAAACAGGTCTGCTGTGAGTCTAGGGGATGGTCTCCGTTCCCCTTGAGCTGCCGACAGCCCGGGGCGTCCGCACGGCAGCTGGACGGGGCTTGCGATTCAAGAGACGTTAGTTGTTGAAAACTTCCCACATTGTAGGTTTTGCATTTCAGTATTGCTCTTCCTTATGACATTAGGCTGGATTCATCAAGAAACATTATTAGGTCTTTAACAAAAGCAAATTTCCAAAGCCATTCGGTGTGACGTTGTTAAAGGTGTTTCTTTTCATTCAGAAAAACTTCAATCTGCCCTTAGCTCAAGAAAACCTCAAAAAACAAAAAAACACACACACAACAAAAAACTTACCACCGTCAAGGCATCAAAATATTGTGCGGCTGTGACAAGGGAAGTCGGGATATTCAGCTTTTAACTCTGACAAAAATTCACACAAATGATTACATCCCAAAGTGCGAATGGATTCCACCACGGACACCACTGGTTCAGGACATACGAAAGATCCAAGTATCTTCTGCAAAGTGCCTGCTGGTTGATGAGTACCGTGATGAGCCTTCACAGTTTAGTCAATTTGTTCAACCAGGTATTTCCCTGACCCCCACACACGTTCACCAACACGGCTGTGACACATCTCAACAGAGCCCACTTCAGGTTGTACTGAGTTAGCATCTTCTCAACTTCCTGGAAAACCCTCTCTCCTGCGGTTGTGCCCCGTGGACTCTGCACAGAGGCTCATTCGCCCGTCACGTCAAACGCACCCAATAAACACTGCGCAGATCGGAGACTCCGGAGCCGAGGAAAACCACTCAAACTGCCCGCCTCGCTTCCGAGGGCTGGCGTTGCCCCTAACTGTCAGCTCCCTGAGCGACGGTTCCCGCCACAGCTCCTGTTCTCAAACAGGCTCACTTCCTCTGGACAGACTTCCTCAGCTGCTGCAATCAAACAACATTTCACCAACTCATCACTAGTAAGTGCTTTTCCTTGCGTGACCAACAAACGAGCCAACCAGAAACCTACTCTGAGTGCAGCCTTATAGGTTATTCTTACTTTTGTGAAGAAATCCTGCTGTGATGAGACACTCCATTGTAAATTTTCAATTCTTTCTAAAAGCTGCTTTCCTCTGAGTGCTTAGTCTGATGCCAACACGTCTTATAACTTTCTATTTTAACACAGATGTAGTGTCACCGCAAGATAAACAGGATGCTTCCCCCGGCTGACAATGACAATCCAAGGACAAAACCACCCACCCGTCACCATGGCTGAAAAGCTGGACGCTTCTCCCCTCGTCTTGATGCGGTGGGTGCTGGTAATACAGCCTCCACAGCGTTTGTGCTGACGGGGCTGGTCCACCTGCTGCAGATGCTCCAGCCGCCGGCGAGTGTGAGACAAACGTGCGTCCCTGAATGAGCGGGGCTGTGTTCCAGCAAACTATCCATGGACGGAGACATCTCAACGCAAAACTTCCACGTCACAAAATATTTTCTTTTGATTTTTTTCCAACTACTTAAAAACGTGGGGACTTCCCTGGTGGTCCGGTAGTTAAGAATCCACCTTCCAATGCAGGGGACATGGGTTCGATCCCTGATCCGGGAACTAAGATCCCACGTGCCGCAGGGAAACTAAGCCTGCGCTCTGTAACAAAGAGCCCGTGCACGGCAAAACACAGCGAGGACACAGCACAGTGAAAAAAAAAAAAAAAGAAAAACGTGAAAAACACTCTTGGCTCAGGAGCTGCACGCGACAGGCAGGGCCAGGTCTGGTCGGCAAGGGGTCTGCCGGCTCCTGCTTCAGCCAGCGCGAAGAGGCAAGAGAAAGAAACGCAGGTGCAGCTGCTTGGCGGAGCAGCCCTGCTCCAGGATAAAGCCCTCAGACGTACTCACCCACGTCCACAAAGTTTGTAACAGAACATTCACTGCGCCCCTCCCCAGGTTTAAAGCAAAAGATGACACACGTGAAGTGTCAGTCAGGAGAGGAGCCTGGACGAACGGGAGGGGCCCCAGCAGCCACCGTCGAGACCCCGGAGAGGAGCAGCTGCAGCCGCGCAAAGGCGTGTCACACAAAATAGGTCACGGATAAAGTTTACAGGTAAAGATGCTGCCTCAGGGAAAACGGGCTTTTCTAAATTATAAAAACAAAAAGAAACAAGAAACAACTAAAAAACTCATTTTCCACCTAAAAGGCTTCATCTACAAGGGAACAGAAAAACACAGTCTACCGGCCACAGGCTGGATCCAGAAAGCCAAGCCACTTTTTATTTCCCAAAATTCGTGAGAGGATGCATGCCGGAAGTGAAGCCCCCTGCCACAGGGTAGGCAGCTCGAAGGGGCTGCAGAGCAGGAGGGCATCCTCCAGACACCCCGGGCCCCCAGGGTCACTGCTCTGTCTCGGGTGAAATGTGCTCTGGACTCTCTGGAGGACCCGGAAGAGGGCCCATCTCAGAAACCAGCTTTACAAGCTGGCCCAAAACCAGAGAAACTGCAGACAGCCCACGTTCAGAAAACAGCCCGCTGCTACGGACTTGGACACTACAGCGATCTTTTAAAGAGCAACAAAGGACCGAAAGTTTGAGAAAACAGAGGAATGGATTATTTGCCTACCCAGAAAGCACCCTGGACTGAGGGCAGAGCTCAGGCTGCCTTGGGCATTAGTGTGAACTTGGGGAATTCTGGAATCCCTCCGGTTCTTCCACTTCAGGGTGGCGATCACGGCTACAGGCTGCCTGTGGAGAGGACGAGGGGACGCATGCAAAGGACAGGCTCGACAGAAGTCGGCAGAGTTTTACACCCGCCCTCTTCCCTCACAAGCCAAAGCTCCACTGAGAACGCGTCACTGTGCTCCCCACGCGCCGACTGCTGGCCTGAGACACCACCGCCCCCAGGGGTGAGCCGAGACCCTGCAGACCGGCTCCAGGGAGCCAAGTGGGCAGTGCCCGCCAGCCACAGATCGAGGAGGCCTTGAACTTCAAAAAGGACAGTAACTGCAATAACCTGAGAACAGTAAATGCTCAAAGCCATCTGATCGGGGCTGGAGCGGCTGGGAAACCAGCTCATTTTCTGTAAACAAATAAAGGAAAACTTCACACGTTTGTTCTGCTGTTCTGTACAGAGTGGATCTCGGGAAACCAAGCCAGGGAGCGTGTCTTTATGGAGGCCTCCCCGCCATCAGTGGAGGCGGGTGACGGAACAGGGGGCACGGTCTGGCTGCCTCCAGGCCTCACGGGCTCTGCGGGGCCTGGCTGGCAGGACCACATCTGCGAGGGCCCCGTCTGGGCGGAGTGACACTGGAAGGCGCCAGAGTCCGACGGGGCCTCTTGATCCCACCCACACACAGGAACGTGGAGACAGGAGGGGCCAAGGGGGGGACCCGCGTGGACCTTGACTGAGACCAACTAAACCCTGAGAGACGGGAACGCCTCACCCACTAGGACCTGATGCAATAAGGAATCAGTACTATCATCTCGGTTTACAAAGGTGCTGTAGCTCCGAGTTTTAAGAAAAATCCTTCTCTTTGGGGAACGAATGGCAACGTTTCCAGGTGAAAGAACAGGAAGGGTGGGGGAAGGAGGTGAACAGGTTTCACCACAAGCTGACAACTCCTGACCCTGGATCATAAATACATCGAGTTCTTTACAGGATCTTGCGTGTTGCACACTGCAAATATCCTGTAACGATTTCCATCGGTGTGAGCGCTTTATTCTCCTGCAGTCTTTGCCTTTCCCCAGCACTAGAAAACCCTTCAAATGTCCGAATGTGATTGTTTTTATCTACATTTACTCAAGAAATTTAAACTCCTTTTGTATGAATGAATTCTACGAACAATTAAAGAAGACTTTAACGATATCACTCCCTAGGTTGTGTCTTAAAGATCAGATGTGACATCCACTGACCTAACTGAATAAGCCTGTACTTGAAATTATAACCCTCTTCTGAAACACAGTGGTGAGAAAACACTGCCCAAATGAATTGCTAACGTATCTTATCTTTGAAAGAAAGTTGTGCCTAGTTTTTATTAGCTGGCACTGCTTCACCAGCCGCTGCCCACACTGAACAGATTTCTGAGGCCTGTGTCCCCACCCGCCCCCCCAACAAGGGCAGGACAGTCTCAGTGTTCAGAACTGCAGAAAAGTTTTAAAAAGAACAGCCGTTTCCACTTTCAGGATATTTGTACCACAGAGTATTTCTTCTCAACTCTCATAGATTTGACTTTAACTACAGTTAAACTTTACTGACACAGGGTCCCCGGCCTCACCTCCAGGCGGCACAAGTGAGAGGCCACCCTGCGCCTCCTGAGCGAAGCGGGAGGTGTGAGTGACGATGGATGAAACCGGCCAGCACATGGCCCCCGTCTGCCCCGGGCCCCAGGCCAGCGGCTCGGCGGAAACTGCACCGACTAGCCGGCCGGCCGAGCGAGACGTCCAAAGCCAGGACCCCGGAGAGAAAAGCCCCTCAAAGGCCGTGCTGCAGACGCAGAAGTCCAGGTGGATGCTCTGACACTTACCTTCTTGGAGGCCTGGGACCAATTTGTAAACAATATCTTGCATGGTTCTGTCATGACTGGCAAAAAGAACAGAACAGGTGGGTTAGCCAGAAGCGTCAATTCTCTAATTCTCGAACGTTTTCCATTTAACAATAATAAACTCCACAATCACAAATTTGTTGTTTTGGTTGAATTTTGCTTCTAGTTTGCACTTCAGAACAAGTCTGTGCTAGCAAAAGTGACACGTGGCCGGAAGGAACCCGTTGTTCAATTTGGGCTCTATATGCTTGTGAACATTTCAAGTAAGGAGGAGGACACAGGCAAGATCCTTCGGTGACCAGCTCCCTCTGCCCGCTGGGCTTCTCAAGTCCTAACAGGTATCAGGCAGCCTGGGCTGTGCCAGACCAAAGGGAGTTTCCCACGCTTTCCTGACCAGGGTCCGCGCCAAGAAATACCTTTCACACTCCCGTGTACCTGAACGCGTGGCGCGTGCGCACACACAGAAGCATAAAACACAGCTGGCCTCCAGCAGACACGACACCCTCCGAATTTGCTACTAAAGCCACCAGCTTCTCAGAAAGCTCGTCCGACCCACAAGAACAGGACGCTGGGCAGAACCGCTGCCACACGGCTTGACATCGGGCTGGCTGGTTCCTAGGTCTTGACCTGGGAGCGGCCTCTCCCTCCCACGACACACCTCAACTCGGGGGTCAAAGTGCAGCCGGCCCCCTCCTTCAGCCCCGCCCCTCCTGGCAGGGCGGCCCCCATCTGCCCCGGGCCTTAGGCCAGCGCCTCGGCGGAAACTGCACCGACTGGGCGGCCGGCCGAGCAGGGCGGCGCGAGGCTCGGGGCGAGGCCCGGGCCGCTTACCCGATGTACTGCAGGGGGTGGCTCTGGTGGATGACGATCCTGCACGTGGGGCACGTGTTGTTCTCCTCCAGGTACTTCACCAGGCAGCTCCGGCAGACTGCAGGGAGCGCGCACGTCAGGGCGATGCGCGCGCACGCCAGAGGGGCGGGGCGCGCATCAGAGGGAACGGGAGCGCGCACGTCAGGGAGCGCGTCGGAGGGGTCTCCGCTCCTCCCGGTAGGGCTCCCCGAGGCCACAACGGGACACTGGTGACAGGCCCGCCGCCCGGGTCCACCACCACGGAGGAGCATCAGCTGCCCCTGGACAGAGCTGAGGCCCAGAAACAGGAGGGGAAACTGGAGGAGCAGCTGAGGGGGCCGCAGATGCACCTTCACGTCCTGTCACAGGGGCTCCGCCACAGGGGCAAACAGTTACATTCTAGAAGTTAGCCTGAAAGATCACCGGATTTCTTTGTAGGACAAAATGAGATAAAATTTGCTGAATATAACATAAAATACTGCCAGCCAATATCTTAAAATACAATTAACTTTAAAATAAAAATTCTGTCAAAACTGGCAAATATTTTATTTTCTAAACTGAAAAATACAGGATCAAAACTCGTCAGTGTTAGAGGATTCGTTTTACTTTAGGAAGTGCCTGCCCCTCGGCATCCTGGGCCGGCCTCACAAGAGGACCCAGCCTCCAGGTGAAGGCTGCAGCCTGCTCGGCAGGGGCAGGGGCGGCAGGGCTTAAAGTAAGGCGCGCCCAAGGTCAGCGCCAGCTCGAAGTCTAGACCTCCAAACACCCACTGGCCTGAGGGGCAGACGAGCAGACTCCTCTGTCTACAGAGTTTAAGGAAGTCATTTGCAAACGGCAAAAATAAGCGTTTCTGCCCACTAGAAACGAATATTCTGTTGTACCACACGTAACGGTTTAGTTGTTACATCGAAATACCTAAATTTTCCTGTTTTTATTCAGCTTTCTTAAGTGACATGTCTACTGAAGTTACCCACAGTGTTTTAACTTCAGACAATTTTTCTCATTTATCTTCAAGATCTCCTTTATTCCTGCTGCTGTGTCCTGCTGTGTACTTGAGCTAAAAGCTTTTGGTAAAAAAAGCCAAAGTATCAAAGAGCACACAGGACATTCCCCACATACATGTGTGCACTCAGTCACTGCTCCCCCCCACGGCTGTCTAAGGCCACATTCTAGAATATTCTGCACATACATGTGTGCAGTCACCGTGCCGCCCCACCCCCACCCCCGGCTAAGGCCACGTTCTAGAATTTTCCGCACATACACGTGTGCAGACACTCGGTCACCGTGGTCGCGTCGATGAGATACCCGCTGCACAGGCGGCAGGTGATGTGGGCGTTTATGTCCCAGAGTTTAATCTTTCTGGTCAACATCTTTGGCTTCTGCAAGAAAAAAACACGTATTAACTAATACATGAAATGGTGTGATGTTTCATCAAAGGTTCGGGTCCAGCGGAAATCGAGCTACAGTCTGTGTGTCCAGGAGGAGCTCAGCGTGAGCAGGGCTGAGGCCAGGTCCCCGCCCTGCGGCCCTGCTTCCACCATGAGACAGGCAACCACCCGGCCGCCCCTGGAGGACTGGGTCATCCTGGCCCCAGGGCAGCGCTGGGCCGCAGACACGCTGCCGCTTCTCGCTTCTCCCCCTTCTGGGCCCCCGGGCCCTCTCTTCCTGCTCAGAACCCCGCGAGGCCAGCTGGTGAGGTGGCGCAAAGCAGGGGAGGTTTGTGGAGCAGTGGGCGGAGAGGCCAGGGAGCAGGTGGGCCGAGCTGAGTCTGGGTCTAGGCAGAAGAAAACGTGGTCTCTCTGGAGCTCTGGTTCCTCCGTAAAGCCGACCACATGGGAGCAGCTAAGGCCGCCCCACCCTGGGAAGCACAGCCCACAACACGGCATCATAAAAGTCCAAACGTCTGTGCACTGAAGTGTGGACGCGTCGTCTCTGCGCCGGTGGGCGGGTGCCCTCCAGAGCTGTGGTGGCTCTGACTGGCTCTCCTGCCAGGCCGCAGGCTCACGAGGGCAGGGTCTTGTCATCTGACCCAGTACAATGCTGTGCAGCAGGGGAAACAGTCCCGAAGACAACACGTCCTACCCAACACCTGCATGTCACCTCACATGGCAAAAGGCCCCTGAGGCGGGAGCCGGCCCTGGAAGCCCCAGCAGGACCTCGTGTCACCACAGGGCCCGTACGAGGGCACGAGGCTCGGAGGAGACAGGAGAAGCTGCCTGTGGGCTGTGAACAGGGAGGGGGCTTCTAGGAGCTGGAAGGAGCCTCTCCGGGAGGAGCAGCCCTGCCCACACCTGGATTTTAGCCCCGTGAGACCCGTTCTGGACTCTGGCCTGCAGTGCTGGCAGGTCAGACACCCATGTGGCCGCAGCCACTAGATTCCTGGGGATTCCCTGCAGTACAAGTAGGAGACTCGCCGGATGCTGACGCCGTGCAGGATGCAGGGAATTTTCAAGACAAGCATCACCAAGAGAACTCTGCAGAGAGAGACAGGACCACACTCCAGGAGATGGAGGGCCTCCGCATCCGCGTGGGCGGCAGGCTGGACAGTGCCACCTCGCCCAGCAGCCACAGCGCACGTGGCGCACGGGCTCCCGCGGCTTAACACTGTTTGCCCGAAGGCAGAGGGAAGGAAACAGCTGGGCGGGCGGGGCCCCCTGGAGACTAAATCGTCACCTGCACTGAAACCCAGCGGAATCGACTGTCAGCGCAGACTGACGCAACCAGCAAGGCTGCCGGGCTCAGCTCACCCATAAAGCGAGAGAGCCTCTAAACCAGCAAGAATGCCCTACGACTTCATTCACAGAGAGTAAGACGTGAGGCCGACCCTCGCGGTTCTCACCCGAGTCTCTCCTCTCCCCTCGATCACAGGCGCGAGCCGACGCATGGTCCCCGCTAGAGACACCTCTCCCTCGGCCCCTGCAGTGGGCTCTGAGCTGTCAGGAGAGACTAAAAGGGGTGGTTCTCACAGGGGCCCCACGGGCCGACCCACGGGAAACGAGCCCACGTCTGCGAGGCCCACTCGCTCTGGTGTCATGGTCACCACGTGCTGTGCCAGGCCCGGCCTGACCACTCGCACCCACTAGGACCGGCTCCGTGAAGAAGGGCCCAACACGCCTCGTGGAGCAGGAAGTAATGGGAAATAATCTAAAAGAGAGAAACCCTAGTCATTCCCAAGGGAAGCAAAGCAGAGACGGGAGAGCACTGACTGGGCAACGTCCCCGCTGGACGCCGAGGCCCAGGGTGTGCCGTCCACCACCGGCACGACCGAGCCCAGCACTGTGCCCTCGGCTCACTGGGTGCTGTTCACACACGTCACCAACCCACAGCCAGATCACAACCAAAACCAGCTCCAAAGTCACACAGACGGGGGTTGGGGTCAGTGTGAATTCGTGTTTAGTGGCAACCAGGCAGACAGGTACACATGTGTACGCACACGAGTGTGGACTCACCCACTCACTCCCAGTTCTGTCTGCTGGGAGGGCCCGGAAGTGACCACTCGTGGGCAGCCCTAGGACCTGGCGTGTCCACACCACGTCTGCCGCAAGGGGCCAGCGCTGCCTGGACACGCAGCCAACTCCGGGCTGGGCAAGGAGTATAGCAGGACCTGGGGCCCCACTGTGCTCAGATAGGGAACAACTACCATCACTGCTTACCACGGCAGGATAACACAGAGGCCCATGAGGCTACACAGACAGACAGACAGACAAGGGACGCCCTTCCTCACAGAATGGGAGCTGATAAGTGGAAGGAGGGCTGCAAGGTCACCACCCCAGGACAACTGCAGTGACCACTCGCTCAGGAATCCTCGGCGGGTGGTCAGCAGCAGCGAGACTGCGCCAAGGAAGTGAAGGTTCCTAAAGGCTCCAAGCGTCTCCCCACCAAACACTCATCAGCCCCAAGGGAGGGCGGGACCCTCAGAGGAGAAACCCCTAGAGGTCCCCGACTGGGTGACCAGGCGACACCCAGGTGAGGACTGGCCAACCATCACACGGAGAAGGACACAGCACCCCTGGCAGGACTCCTGCCAGAGGGTCCCCCACCCCGAGTCCCCAGGGGAGAGGTCACTCTGCAATGCCATCAGGGTCGTAAACGCTAAGGCCAGACAGGGGGCCAGGCTGTCCAGGCGCAGCGCCCGCCAAGGGGCCTGGGCAGCCAGCTCTGTGCCCACACGGGGCCTCCATGCCGGCCTCAGGCGCACAAGCAGCTGCCGTCGTGAGGGGCCAGCGCTCACGGTCCCCAGGCCGCCCTGCACAGCATACGACACCCAACACCAGACACCAGGTGGGCGCCCATCCAGACAGAGAAGGATGGCGGCTCGAGGCTCTGGGTCCCGTGCTCCCCCGCCAACTGCGGGGCCCAGGCGGTAGCTCGGACACTTCCTGGGACAGCAGGCCCGCCCGGAGAAGGCCGCATCTCCCACCTCCTTGCGAGGCCGTCTGTCCCCTCCTGCTGCCTCTGCATCGGACGCTTCCGGCTACGGGTGCAACGCGGTCACTCCTCGTCCGCCGTGCCCTCCGCGCTCTGGCTCGTCACGTCTGTGCCTGCCTTGTGTCTCTCGCTGTCTTTCCATTTTCTAGCACAGAAACGGCACCTGCTATTCAATTTCGTGTCATTTATGTGACGCACACAGCCCTGTAATTACAGTCTTGCTAGAAGTTTTAGATGAGTCCCACGTAGCAAACAGTGGAACAGAGTCGATCAGAAACGTTAATCAAGAGAAAACTTGAATATGTATAAATAATTGTGCCCTAATCTGCTCTGGAGCTGTCACACGTTAAATTTTAAAGGAGTTACAAGGCACTGACTTTTTCTATGCCTACAACAGACTCATAAGGTGTAATTCAAGGTAAATTTAATCAATTCACATGCACTGAAAGAAGAGGAAGATCAAAGTTTACACCGCATTTACCTGTACACACAGCCGGATCCTCCGCTACATTTTGAAGCCTGTGGAGACACACGGGACGAGGCGTCACCCACACGTGCTGTCCACACAGAGCCTGGCTCCCCGGACCAGCAGCTTCGGCTGCTCAGGTAAACAGGTCTCTTCCTTTACCTGCTTAAAACAACCAAAAGAAAAACAAGCCTGGCTGACAGTAAAGGCACGGGCCACGGAGACAGGGGCAGGTCTTGGTGGCAGCCTGGTGGCACAGAGGCCCAGGGGCTGCTGGGAGCTGGGGACATGCAGGGGCTGCACCACGTGCTCTGGGGACCAAGGCAGCAGGACAAGGGCCCCGGAAAGCTCCTGGGGAGACGGTGGGCTTCAGGGTGACCTAGTGGGAGGCTGGGCCTCAGGGACGCCTGGGAGAGCGAACTGTGTTATTTAATTTCTGTGATGCTGTTCGCATCTCACGCCCTGTGAAGGTGTCCCCCGGGCCGCTCACTCAGTGACCCGGAACGAGGACGCCCACAGGCTCAAGCCGGGCTCTGGGCCAGCACGGACAACAGACAAACCAGCGCGTGGGGATGGAGCGGGCCCGTGCAGGCTCGCGTGGGGCCTTGGGGCCTCAGCCAGGTGAGCACAGGCAAGCACAGGTGAGGGGCTAGGACGAGTGGCAGCCCAACCAAGGGGCAGCGGAAGGGCGGCACTGAATCGGTAGCACAAGGCCCCTGGAAGGACCTGGCCTCAACTCGGGGCAACGGGAGCTGCGGGACCAGAGAGCCGCCAGTTGCTCTCGGAGGTCTGAGGGGTGGGGTGACTGGGTGTCCAGAACCTCGGTGGACCCCCCTCGTCTGCCCATGCCCCCCCTCCTCATGGAAGCCCGAGGTCTCCCCACCCATCAGGGGGGAAGGGGGCAGGGACCGGGGGCTGCTCCCTGCTGAAAAGCAGGGGTGGAAAGCACCAGGGCCCCGAAACCACGAGAGGCACCTGGGACAAGAGGCCTGATACTCAAGGGATTCGTATCACACCCAACTTATACCACTTTTACTCTCCAAGTTTTCCCATAACTGCATGCTTTAGTAACTAGTCTTTAAAGCTCAATTAACTTTTATAAGAAAAAGGAAGAAAGGGAGGAAGTGGGTCAGTTATTCAGGGAGATTAAAAGGCACTTACAAGAGAACAAAGAGGAGACCCGAACGTGGGTGTAGACCACAACCCCTGTGGGGTGTAGACCAGAGCCCCTGTGGGGTGTAGACCAGAGGCTCTGTGGGGTGTAGACCAGAACCCCTGTGGGGTGTAGAGCAGAGCCCCTGTGGGGTGTAGACCAGAGCCCCTGTGGGGTGTAGAACAGAGCCCGTGAGGGTGGAAACTGCTCCACCTGCCATCCACACGGTGGCCACCGAGCCCTTGAACTCTGGCCAAGTGTGAGCGCAGCACCTCAGCGTACTCAGTGTGATTTAATCTCGGTGTGGCCAGCTACACAGTTATAGATGCTTGACATGAGTTCTTAGACAGCAGTGAACAAAAAAGACACAAATCCCTAGAGCCCACATTCTCACGGAGGAAGACAGACAATAAATAATAAACGCCACGAACAGGTACATTATTTAGATGTCAAAGGTGACAAACACGACCAACCAGAGCGGGGAAAGGGGTCGGGAGAACAGGGTGGCCGGGAATACTTCACTGAGAAGGTGACATCTGAGTAATAATGTAACATTATGAACAGCTCCACGCCAATCGAGTTGAAAGTTCGTAAGAAACTGATAAATTCCTAGAAAACTAACTCAGCAGAATTGAGGCAAGTGGAAACAGAACCTGCAGAGTTAGTTCTAAGGAAGCTGACCCAGGCCGGTTCTACCAAACCTGTGGGAGCCCCCCTCCCACACAGACCCACCCAGAGAATCCTTGAGACAGTTTCCCGACTCTTGCGTGAGGCCTACACAACACACACCGGAGTGGAACGGGGGGACAGACCAAGTGACAATCGTGACACCTCCTCCGGGGTGTGCAGGAGGGCCAGCCCAGAATACGAGGGACTTGTGTAAGGAACGCATGGAATTTATGACAAAAGCTAAAAGGAGGGAAATGATAAGATCCTCCCAAAGACGCACAGAACTCATTTGATGAAACTCATTATCCATTCATGATTTTCAAACAACTGTCAGCAATTAAGAAGAGAAGTAACTGTCCACACCTGACAAAAGCTCTCCATTTAAGAGCCACTAACACACATCTCCACTAGATATGCCTGACGTTCACAGCTCTCTTCCCAGCAGCCGCCCGCGGGGAGCAGCGCGGCTGAGCATCCCGAGTCCTCTGGACGCGGTCTACGGCAGGAAGTCAGCACCCCTGGGGGGCTCGTGACTGGCCAGACGCTCCGGGACACCAACGCTCCAGGAGGCCTGGCCTCCCCCGAGGGGCCCCAACACTGCCAGGTGGCCTCTTCCCACCTCCCCACTCCGCCTGCACCCCCGCAGCACCTGCTCTCCAGGTGGACCCTTCTCCCTCCTCCCTGGGGGTGGAATAGCAGCTTCCACACCCCCTTCTCTGGTCTCCAGGCTGATCCAGTCCCCACTCTGCTTCTCGAGGGCGCTCACGGTCCCAGCAAGCCCTTCTCATTCCAGAAACTTCCATACCTCCCTCCCGACGGGACCCCCTCGACAGGACCCACCCACCCACTTAGACCTCTCCCTCCCGTCTTCCGTCCCCTACCCCACAGATCTGCTCTCGACAAGTTTCCGGTGACGAGGACAGCGCCAACGCCCCCAATCTCCAAGGCCACTGCCCACCCTGCAGCCCAGCTGACCCCTCTCATGTGGCCCCTGACACGGGGGAAGCAGCAGGTCATGGAGACCGACCCCAGCCCGACACTGCAGAAGGGCCAGGCCGCGCTCCCCACACCTCTCAGGCTCACCCCGGGTGCCGGGGGCATTTGCGCCTGCGAGAAGAGGCCCTGCCTTCCTGCCCACTCACCTCGGATCACTGCCCACCCTGTCTGCCCTGCTCCCGCCCCCGCCCCTGACTCCACAGCATGTTTGAGGGGTCTTCCCTGCACCGCTGCCCTTGTATTACACCTACGTTATCCCTTTTCGTCCTCTAGGGAAATGCACTGGGTTTGTTTTGCAGCATAAACGCATTTACTAATCACAATCTGGAATTCTTTACTGAACGTAATTAAGGAGAAAGCCCTACAACCCTAAGCAGCCAACATTTACTGCTGTTCCTAGTGTAACAGTGCACTTCCCTCCAATACTTCTAACACACACACCCCCTCATTCTCACTCAAATGCAGCCTCAGACCCTTGTGACACACGAATAAAATGCGAGGATGCGCTAGCACTCAGCACTGGGCACAGTCTGGGGTCTCCGACTGCGGCCATGGCCACATGTTACCGGGGGGCCCTCTCGGCCCCTCCCAGAGGCGCTGGCCTCAGCCAGTCCCATCCCCTTCCCCTCAGGACCCCCGGAGAAAGAACCGCCTCCCCACACAAGCCCACCCCGGTCATGCTTCCCGCCGTTCACATATCTTATGAGAACCTTAACATTTTCTATTTATTTGGGGGTTAGTGTTGCTAAGTTATACTTTCCTAGGAAACGGGTCATCAAATTTATTGGCAAAGAATTGCTCACAGTAGCCTGTAAACTCATTAAACAGCTGCACCGCGGAACGTCTGACAAATAACAACGGCACGTACTTTAAAGGACCGCCTGGGCCCTGACTCTGGAAGCTGTGTGCACGGGGCAGGCCGCCGTCCTGAGACTCGCCGAGCGGCCGCATGTACGGCGCATGGACGGTGGCTCACTCCTTCTGTCTGAGCGACGCCTGCCCTGACGCCCGGCCCCTTGCCCACAGCGGGCAACCTGCCTGCATCCCTCGGGGCTGTGGGGACGAGGCTGCCGCGAGGCGCTGTGGCCGTGGCTCTGTGCGGGCGGCCGTTCCGGGGACATGCCCACTGTGGAGGCCACCTGTGCCCGGAGGGCCGTTCTCCCAGCCTCGCCCCAACACCACAGCCTCCGCGGCCTTCTGCGCCCGTGGCCCAGCCCCGGATGATGCCGTGGCTCCTGTCCGGACGGCCCCCTCAACCACGGCACCGCCGATCACTTCTCCACAGAGAAGCCTGAGCAGCCTTAGAAACACAAACCAGACACACACCCCTGAATAAACCAACCGAAGGAACCCGACTGCTGACAAGGGGTGCCCTCCCTCCACGTTCCGCCCTGACCACGTCAGTGTCCGCGACGGCACCCGTCCACGTCGGCTCCATTCCCCTTGGCCTTGCCCACCCCTCAGCTGTGTACATGCTGCTCCCTGGCAGCCTGACACTGCATCCTCAGGGCGGCCACCAGAGACCCCAAGACTCCCGGAGAGGCCACCCAAGCCCCAGTCCTAACCCGCTCGCCGTCCTGTCCCCACGCTGTCACCACCCTCGGTGTCTGTGCCGGCGCCCCCGGCAGGGCCGAGGCCGTGTCCTCACCACGGGGCACCACGTCCAGCAGGGCGCCCGCCCCAGAGCCGGTGCCCAGGAAGTAAGACCTGTCCAGTCAGCTGGCACCCAAGCACTCTGGGAAACCTTCTCCTCCTCCTTTCACCAAACTGCCGGCCTCTGCTCCCCACTGACACCCGCTTCTCAAGACCAGCCGCTCCGCGTGGAGGCTGTGCTCAGCTCCGCCCCCGACTGCACCCAGGCGAGCTGGACAGGCCACCCCGGTGCCCCGGGCGGGTGCACGAGAGGAGCCCCGCTCTGTCGGGCCCCCCAGGCCCTCTGCCCGGCCGACCCGGCCCCACGGCCTCACTGCTCTCCCTGCGGCCCCGGCGGCCTCGCTCACCAGGCGAGCCCACACCCATGACGGTGCCTGGCACACAGTGGGTTGCGAGACTCACACTCTGGTAGCAGCGCTGGGTCTGAGCAAGGCCTGAAAGGTGGACGGCCCCGCAGGGTTCTGTGCTCACACCTGCCCCGCTCCCGTGCCGTCCACGCCGGGCCACACTGACCCCAACACGGCTCGAGGGTCCCCAGTGTGAAATCCTGCAAAGGCTCAGGGAAAGCTTCGGCCTCCGGTGGCCCACGAGGCCCCAAGGCCACCTTCCTCCACGACGGCCACGGTGGACCCCCTTGGGGTCTAGAACATTCTAAGTGCAGTCCCTCCTCGGGGTCCTCGCATCACTGCAC